GTCAGTTCAGATATATTTTAAAATGTTCTACAAGTTGTTTCTTTGTAATATGAGGCATTGAAAAGTATATCAAAAACCATTATTTCACAAATGTAATGGCAAAATATGATTTCAATTTTATACTCAATCTTGTTGCTGTTGAATTCCACAGTGAACAACATTTCTAGCTGTTCAAGACTGTTTATATATTTAACAAACGTAAACATCTGAAAATACTTTAAATACACTGCGACAGTTTATTAAAAAAAATTGTCTAAGCTACGCTACGCGGAGCGTTAATTTCTTGGAAGAGTAAATCAATTTGGAGAATAAGGGGGCCTTTCGAAAACGCAAATGAAATCTTAATATCACTAACAGTATCTGAAATAACCCAGAGCAAAGCACTCCACCCACTACCCGATAAGGTACTCGGCCAAAGTATCCGGTACTCGGTCTTCTTAAAAAAGTAGTACTCGGTGCATCCCTACAATCTATTATCGTTAGTAGATTTCATCCAGACTCTCGAAGACAAGTGGTTCTTTGATGATCATTTCCCTCACAAACTGTTCGTTCATATTTCCGACGCGGTCCTGCATCCTTACTATAAATTACACAATCTGAGAGGGCAACTACTACGTCTGTTTTGTTGCTGAGGGCACCAACACGGTTAGACAGTCCCAGAAGCTGAATTATGTTTATAGGGCTGGAAAGTGATTCCCACTGTAGATAGCTGGAACTCTGCGCTCATGTCTGGGAAGCTGGTCTTTTGTACTCAAGTTTTCTTTGTTTACACTTGAACCGAATAATCACAATATCTATAACCAAGGGTCGGGTCTCGAACCCGCGCAGCTTATGGCGGCTGATTAGCTGACCCATCTAATCCAGTCAAAATAAAAATTAGGCTTGCACAAATTCCACAAAACTGAAAATTCGTACCGAGAGCTTGAATGGATGATATATCAAAACTCCTCAAATATACTTGGAGCGGAAGCTTGTTTTATTTGGGTAGAAATTATCATGGATATAGGTTAAACAAAAATTTACAGAGGCAATAATTATCTATAAAAGTTGTCTGAATACTTTCTCCCTTGAGTCACCGTTTTTTGAGATCTACATATATGTGCAGCATATATTATGTGTACTCCAACGACCGGTCAATATGAACATATATGTGGTGTATCAAAAAAAGTATTGTTGTAAAAATACACTCCATGAGCAACGAAAGGTTTGTATACAAAACAATTGAACACCTAATAGTATTGGTCCATACCATTCAAACACATCTTGGTCTGCTTAAGGTGTGCTCAAAATGAATGAAAGAAAGTCGTATTTTTGGAAAAAATCGTACCCACTTGAAACTTCACATGTTAATGCAATTAATAAATCAAAAGTCCGGGCTAAGAGCCTAAACCATTACGCCACCATATTCAACAATTTATGAGAAAAGGATTTTTCAAGTTCTACAGAATTAACCTATTCCAAAAAATTCGTAGCAATACCTAACAAACAGGATCTTATTGTTTTAATAAGCAGAACGAGCATTCACCAATTCGCCTGTTTTCTTAATTATGGTGAATGTGATTACGATCGATATTTGACCAAACGAGCAAACGCAACCTAATAAATCTTTCGGGGTCATATACGGGTGAATTATTTATGTGTTTGAATTTCATTCTCTAGAGTCCAAACTACTTATTAATGGTGCTTTTATAAAAAAACATTTAGGAGGTTTTTCTAGACTTATGTTATTTTTAAGTCAAGTTGGGTTAGACTAAGTGACTTTGTAAGCCAGATGTAATTGCTAAATTTCCTATTGGCTGTAACCGTAAAAGAAAAATCAGTAAATATTTTTTTCTGTGAACATCTCCATAGAATAAGGACTGGAAGGAGTAGGCACTGTCTATTTTGTGAGAATAGTACTATTTTAAATTACAACACTATGAACCGCACAACAAAAACGTAAGATACCACAAATCCTTAATTTTCAAGTACTCACAATCTACGATAGAGATTCAATCTGCAAAGAAATGCTGAATTTCTTAACAGTACCTTCAAGGTGCGGCGTACTCACCCGAGATAGACAAGAGATAACAGTACCTGCTATACGTAACTCAGTGAGACACTCTCTCTTTGTACATATGACAACTATTTTTATTAAGTGCTAACACATAATGCATGGGTATATATTATAATCGCGCCTCTCGTGGGACTCCTCTTTTCCTCGTAAATTAATTATTGCCCAACTAGCTAGTCATTAATACTTTTTGTTTGTATGGTGCCTAGAGGGTTTATTCAACGGTTGAATGAAAAGTGTGATAATGCGTATACGAAAATAAACGTTTAAGTATCTTATATAATCAATGGTTCCTGAGTTTATGGTGTGACTTATTGATGGGCCAGGTAATCCGAGGGAAACGTGTGTGAATCCGTGTGATGTGTCAACGTCATTCCAGTTTTCCAAAAATAAGGTTAACGTTAACTTTGTCAGATGTGGAAGTTGCAAACTCAGCTGAGTAGTCGAACATCCTGACTTTCATTAGGAGATAAAGAAGGTCCAACAGATCAGTGACCATACTTAGTGCTGAGGTTTTTTCTTATGGTTGTTCGTGGATTCCAAATGAAGGTTTCTTGTTTCATAACCTCTAAAGCAGGGTTTCTCAACTTTTTTTTTTTGTTGAGGCTCCCCGGACTATAAATTATATTTTCATGCTCCCTTCACTTTTTCAATAAATACAATAAAACGAACATTATATAAGTACAAAGACTTATTTTAATTCTAATAAAGAAACTTTAAAGTTTAAATAAACTAATAAATGTTTTTTTATCGAAAAACTTGAATGAAATAAGAGTAGGTACTAATGAGACACTTGAGATTGCATGTTCTGTACCAGTTGGTTGATTCTAGATTCTGTTTTTGCCAGAACTATCATCAGGTCGCTATCGACATCAAGATGATTTCGCTGTTTAGTTTTAATTAAAACCAGAGCAGAAAAGCCTGTCTCACATAAGTAAGTTAGGAACTAGTATTCGTAAAGCAAGAGAGGCAAGTATCGAATTCAGCCTTCATTTCTAGAAATTCTTCCTGAACTTCTTCTGGTAATTGTCACACATCGACAACAAATGGATTTCTTGTCATGTGCCATATTGGTGGCTCTAGATTGATGCCTCGATAGTATCGGCGAAATTCGTCTTCCAGCGCTTGTTTATGAGTTTTTATGTCAGCTTTTAAATTTGCGTCCAGTATGTTATTTTTAATTGCTACGAACAGCTGAGAAAAATATATAACATTTTCAGAAGACACTTTTTGATTCCAAAGATGAAGCTATGATATGAACCCCTGAATATAATCATAATCGCTTATTATAGTGTTGTTTCTGCTCTGAAGTTTCAAGTCTAGCTCATTCAAAGAGTCAAATATGTCAGTTAAATAATCCAACCTCCACTGAAATGTGTCATCTTTGAACATTGTCAAGAAATCGTGTTTTTCTTTGAACTCAAGAAAAAGAATTACATCTTCTTTCAATTCATAAAGGCGAGCCAACGTGTTGCCTTTGAACAGCCAGCGTACTTCTGTATAGAACAAAAGAACTTCGTGATCAGAATCGAGATCATCGCAAAGTAAAGAAAATAACCGACTGTTCCAAGCATACACCTATCATTGCAGGTGCACCATCTATGCAAAGTTCAATGAGTTTCTTCCAATCCAAATAATTTTTTTCAAGAAAATTTGATATTGAATTAAGTATATCTTCAGATGTAGTACCTGCTGTGAAAGATAACATAAACTATTACGAGTTTTGCACATAGAAACATAGTAGGCCGCTCGGATCGAACGTCAGTAGGTACTGAATCTTAACCTCACCCTTTTGTAAACTTAAATTCAAAGTTTCACAACTATACGTGTAGTGTTCTCACTACAGTGAATTTTTAAGTGTCACCAAGTCATTAGAAAAATGGAACTCGACCGAGAACATTTTCGCGCCATAATTTATTACAACTTTCAGAGACAATTATCGCAACAAGAATGTCTTGCTGAGTTACTGTCGGTTTTCGGCAACGAAGCGCCACATGAGTCGACAATTTCCCGTTGGTATGGAGAATTCAAACGTGGACGGGTGAGTCTAAGCGACGATTCCAGGGTGGGTGCACCAAAAACGGCAGTCACCCAGGAAAACGTCGATGCTGTGCGCAAACTCATCATTGAAGATAGACATGTGAAATATCGCGAGATTGAGGCGTCCTTGAAGATCTCAAATACTTGAATTCAAAAAATTTTACATAAAGAATTAGGAGTAAGAGCATTAGTTTCTCGTTGGATACCCCACCTGTTGACTGAAGAGCAGAAAGCAGCCAGGGTTAATTGGTGTCAAAAAACGCTTGACCGTTTCAATTCCGGAAACTCAAAAAATGTGTACAGCATTGTTAGTGGTGATGAATCGTGGATTTACTGTTATGAACCAAGAAATAAACGACAGTCGGCTGTTTGGATGTTCCAAGGTGAAGAAAAGCCTACAAAAGTCATCGGTTCTCGAAGTGTTTCGAAAAAGATGGTCGCGACATTTGTGTCAAATGCGGGTCATATTGCAACAATTCCTCTGAATAAGCAAAGAACTGTTACTGAGGATTGGTATACCATCACCTGTTTACCAAAAGTCATCACCAAGCTTCGAAAAATCTACCCCGCAAAAAGAATCATCCTCCACCAAGACAATCCAGGCTCGCACACAGCCCAAAAACAAGGCAGTATTTAACGGAAGAAAACGTGTAATTATTGGACCATCCTCCATATAGTCCCGATCTAAGTCCTAATGATTTCTTTACTTTCCCGAAAATTAAAAACAGACTGCGTGGTCAAAGGTTCCAGTCACCAGAAGAAGCAGTTGACGCAATCAAAAATGCCGTTATGGATCTGCCAGCAAACGAGTTGAATAAGTGCTTCGAAAATTGGATCGAGCACATACAGATGTGTATTAATCTTCGTGGAGAATACTTCGAAAAACAATAAAGTCATTTAAAACTACCTACCGTGTTGTTTTATTTCCATATGCAAAACTTAAGAGACATCCCTCGTAACTGTGCACAATTAACGACGTCGGTGGATCCATCGCAACTAATGGCGATAATTTTACTTTGTTAATTATTTGTGACTTTATGTCTGATGCAATGTTATCGATTCTATGCTTCACTGTGTTATGCGAAAGAGGAATAGACTTAATTTTTTGCTCTGCATCTTCTTCTAAAATTATCTGCGTGGATTTTAGGACACATGGTTTTAGTAATTCTTTACCGACAGTATGAGGTTTCTTTTGCTTCGCTATCATAAAAGCTATTTCAAATGAAGCTTTGAGATGCTGGGATACACCTGTGTGATAACTTACCGATTTATCCAGTCTCAACCGCTTGAGTGATTTTGCTTTAGAAGAAAAAACTATTTCGTCTTCAAAACCTGAGTAGGGTTGCTTCAAATGCCTTTCAAGGCGATTGGGCCTCATGCTATCATTACTTAAAACTTTCATGCATATCACACACTGAGGCAATTGTAACTCGTCTTTTTCTATGAAGGTAAATCCAAACTTAACATAAGCTTCGGAAAACTTTCTTTTTTTCGCTGTCATTTTGCACCTATAACAATAAAACAAATAAGTAATAAATAAAGAAGCAAAATACCTATATGTAATTACTAGTTATATCGCCCATTATTTTTATCTTAATAACGTTATGTATTCAACAGTATATTGTCCACCGGGAGATTTATATTTTTGTAGGCAGGTTGACGTTATAATAGCAATTTTAGAAAAGTTCCAATGGTCGATCTATGAACGCGTCTCCACCAATCAATAATTTAGTAAATTAAATAAAAATGGTAACTGAAGTTTGTAAATACACAAACTTATTTTTTAACAGTGAGACACAATAATTTGATACACTCAAACAGATTTCCCAACAAAACATGAACATCGAAACGTCAAATTTTTCGCAAGTTTGTGGGAATGAATATTACAGATGCTCATCCGCGTCTGGTAGGTACACAATTGTGTAACTGATGAATGTTAAGCGGAGCGCGGCGGGGGCGCGCACGGATTTCATGTTGTGACTTGTCGAAACTTGCATAAACTGCGATTGACGACGCCGGGTTTTGAAACAGCGTTTGACAGAATAAGTGAATATGATATTTAATTTCTAATTTTATGCGTGTAAATTAAACATTACATTTTAATGTTATTTGTTAATGTTGTTTGTTTATTTTTTTTGTTTTTTCTTTCTAAAATGCAAACGTTTTCCGCCCCCCTTGACATCTCTCTATGCCCCCCTTGGGAGGTGCGCCCCCCTGGTTGGGAACTCCTGCTCTAAAGACAGCTGTTATGGGAGCTTTTGAGAGTATATTCTTTCTCGCATTTGTGATGCATCATTTGCAGTCCAAAATTGCTCAACAGTCTATATTTACGATAACTTAAGTGTAGTCATGGAGACCTACGTAGGTGTATCAATTAAAAATGTTAATCAGTTTAAATTTCTAAATTCTGTGATGGTATGCCTCATCTTATTTCCTTCCTTCGTCAATAATAACATGATTTGAAGACTACACTGACGTTTACGCTGCCATGGAAACGGAAACGTTAGAAAACTCTTTATTGAATATTTGTACCTTTAATTATTTCACACCAGTTCTTTGAAACTGTTTATCAGCTCAGATACCCATAATCTTGTTCGAATGCAAACATTAGCCTTATCATTCCAATTTGTTTATCTCTCTGCACTTCCTGTACAAGAGGATTCACACTCAGTCCTGTACTTTAGTCCATCAAGATAAGCCATAAAAGACGGTCAGCCTCCGAATGAGAGATAAGAGTTGTAAACTTGTAGAAACCTTTATTTTGCCTCTAAAAATTGTCTCGAAAACCTCATAAAATCTCGTGACCGCGTCTTAAGATATCAAAGTCAATCGTCACAATAATCGTTTATTCTGTTTTCGTTTAGTATGAATATTGTACAGAATATACTTTCATTCAAACATTTCTTCATACAATTTACCATTTTTGAGTTAGAGGCGAGCGAGCGCGCACCATATTTCAAGTTTATGCGTTAGTCCCGATAAAGAATACACCGTATTCAGTCTATAAATAGTTAAGAAATGTATAGTTGTGCGTAATTAGCATTTTTATTATTTATCACATTATATTAATTATTTTTTATTAATTATATTGTTATATATGCGAATTACACTATAGGTAGAAAAAAATTGAGCAAAACTTATTTTCATTATATTTTTATTTAGAAACGTTGTTTCGTATATTTATTACGATTGAAATTCTTCAAATATAGGGACGTTTTAAAAAGACTTGAATAATGACAACAAGTGTCTTAATTTTCTTCTCTTAACCATTTATTCCGGCTGCTCGAAAATTTCGTCCCGCATAAATATCCCTCTCAATATCTTCAAGTACCACACGCTGTTTCTCCGGCCGCGCTTGAGTCGCTCATTCTTGGCTCAGCAGCCGTCCGATATGGAGGTACCCATTGTCGATTCCACCACCCATACATATTGATCGTCAATTTCCAGAGGAGTATGATGAAAAAGTGTGTGTCCTTTAACACGTCGTATTCTCTGTTTTTTTGAACCGAGTAATTCCCACTAGTATTTTACCTTTCTTTAGGTACCCATTCGCCACGATGATATTAGCCTTGTACAGCTCTTTTTATCGAACTTATACTTCTTAAAGTGCTTAAAGCCTTAATGGTTAATGCTTTTGGAGTTCGTTACGGTCATGATACACTACCATTGACGCCTTGCGATTGTTTAAGGCGCACATACAGAAATACATCCGAGAGAGGTACTCAATTAAACTGAATTGCAATTGCAATTTATATTTAATATCATACATACGATTCGGTTTGTATCTGACTGCCACATCGCCATAAAAAGTGAACGACCGTTTGCATTTTACTTGATTAAACCGACTGCGACTTACGGCGCCCATTTGTACATCGTTTTTATAGCTGGATGGGATTGTAAATAGATCCAGTAAGTACTTCTTGTTGATGTGCTTTTTTAGCGAACGATCTGAATAGCGCGCTTTATAACAGGGAAGACTTGCATTGCCATTAACGTATCTTTTTGTCAAAGAGTTGATACCTTTCTCACTCTTACTTGTTTCTATCGGTGTGACTGTCTTTCTGTCGGATAAGTATTCAGGGAAGACTGTTCAAATAACTGGCAACCATGCCAAATACATCAACGACTTGTGAAATATACAATTTGAATTTCAAGCTTACATTAATTATTCTCAAAGCTGTTCCATGGCTATCTAACTGTTATGGCCCTACGCGAAATATTAAACGATTTAGTTTACAAAAGACAAATGTACGCTCGAAATAAAAATTGTCTGGAATCTCAAATTGCATATGTGACCAACATTCGGTGTATCTGACTTGATACTCTTTTCTATGATTCGGCAACCTATTGAAAATTCGCTGACCTAGTATTTCCGGAGATCTGACGCCGATCTTATCCTTTGCAAAACACACATTTAAGTCTCCACCTTGTCTGGTCGAGTACGAGTTAAAATTGTTTATCAAAACCTATTTTTGTGAATAAAAGTACACACAGCCATTTCGAATAAAAATAATGATGGTAAAGTGAAAGATACTTATAAATAATGTCACAAGAATACTTCTGGGCCAAAAATACTTGGTGGACATTTGTGGACAAACCCCAGAAGCATAGTGCATACCTCAATGGTGTCTCAACTTGAGCATAGCAAACACAAACTTTATATTTGAAGCAATATGTACAATATATGGCCTTTATAATTTGAACCTGAATCCAGATACAAGCCCAAGAACTCTACTCGCGAACTGATGTTTTCCAGAATTTAAGTAGAGCTGATTGCTGCAAAACCACTTGTAAATATTTTGCGGTAAAACTCTACAATCTCCCTCTGTAGACTGGTTAGCACAGGCCCTAGAATAGAGCCGTGAGGGACGCCTCTGTTGATGAGAGCCATGTTGGACTTAATAGGCGCATTGAGACCTATTCTCTAAAAAAGACATTATCCAGTGATGTGGTGATTTTTAAACAAGGTTACTGCCATTCCATTTCAGAATTTCACAAACCTCTTTGTGATGTTTTGGGTTTCCAATCATTTCTGGCATAGCCTTCAAACATTTTCTGGATTATTAAAATTATCACCAAAGTTGAATACGTTAATGAATGCTGGTCGTCAGTGCTTTGGGGCTCTGTTAGTGGAGGGGCTTGGCTTTAGCCAGTGGTGATAAGTGCGCTGTAGAGGGGCGTGGGAGAAGCATCACTGTTTTCAAAAGATTCCTCCTCTGCTCTACGACTCTGCTTCAGTTTGCTACTGATTAAAATTGAAGTATGAGAGAAGGGATAGTTGAGAAATCGTGATTCCTTAACCATACATTTCTGGGGACTTCTGACTTCGGGTACCTTGTATACGTTAGGGCCACCAGCGGACACTCAGGTACGCACCTGCTAGTGCATTGTCTACTTTTTATAACCACGTTAGCTTATGATCAGCTTCTAGTATTTAGCAAAGTTAGCTAGAACTTACATATATATATATAAATATGTTTTACAAAATATTTCAAGATGTAGCCATTTTTTAATGTCCATGGAAGTAATTCTAATAACTAAATAAGTGTTTAGGATGGAGAGCAAATCTACTTGATTCATTTCTTTAGATACACGTATCCCGTAATCGACAATACGTGTTCCGTTAGCATTTTATATTCCCTGCTGCGACATTTGGCTGTGATTGGTATCTTTTTGCAGTGCACCAGATGTAAAATTTATCTTGGAGTTCTCTTTTTTGGACTGGGCATATATCCAAAAAGCCATTAACACTTAATTGAACGAAACGGCAATTTAATATAACAGAGCCGGTACTAGCGGGTTATTGTTCTTCTGCGTGATACAGGGTGTTCTCAATATTTGCTATTTTATGCTCAAGAATTGGGACACCATGCTTCGTTATAGAACTTCTATCTTGGATAACTTCAAATTATTTCAGAAGCCACATTATTGGTAAGGTATGAAAGCAGATCTATCAAAGTTCTCACTATAAGCCTTGGAAGGAGGCTTTCTAGCTGAGTCATGGTTATTTGCAGCGTTGTTGAAGTGAGATTCATATAAACTTCAGAATCCTATTATATTCCAATTTGAAACTTTCCAGTCATGTTTTTAATAAACAAATAATGCATCTTTTACTTCTGGCGCATGAACCAATGACAACGTTGTGATGGCGAAAAATGTTTTAATTTTATGCAACGCGTTCTTAATACATTGCTGTCGTATGTTGTCTTTATAGCTGCATATTCTAACGAAATCAAAGTGTAATTTAATACTGCTACACTAATTTATAACACTTGTAACTATTTTATATTTTATAACAAATTTATAACTATATCGACGGGACTATTCTTTCATCTTAATTCCGCGTTCGCTGTCCACTGGACTCAAGTGTGACTAAGTCGTTCCGCCATCTGGTTTGTATATTTATCCCTCCATCGATGAGTCGAGAAACATTCCAGCATTTTCGGGAACTTCAATGGAAGTGATCTAGATGGAAGCAGGTGCTTCCAGGCTGTTGTCGAAACACGTGATTGCATCGCAAACCGATCAGAACCTAACCACGCTCCATACATGATCGCGTAACTTTGGTTGCCTAGCGTCGACATCGCAAGATCGCTCCACGCCCCCCAAGGTCCCAGCTATACGAGGGCGTTAAAATACCTATATCCAACAAAATTGCTCAAAATGCTCGTGTGTTACCTGTCACTATATATAAAAACAAAATTCGAGCAAAAGTGTTGTCTCTTTCTCAAAAACGGCTCAACCCCGTTACTGATAGTGGGTGGTACGTGTTGATTTGATGTGCCTGTTGGTGGATAGTGCGTCATCATTAATCATCAGGAGCCACAGAAACGTCAGGAAACGAAGTCAGAAATATTTTTCTTTTTTCTTTTAGTTTTTTGCGCTTAGCCCTGCCGCCACTAGACCGAATTTCAAAAAAATACAAATCGTTTTCGTCCTTGGCATAGTAGTAATCTTGTACGAAACTTCCATCAAAATTTGAATGGTATTATATATATATATATATATAGAGGGGCCAAAGATTAGCGGGCAGATAGGGTGACTGATATTTATAACTACATCGACGGGACTATTCTTTCATCTTAATTACGCGTTCGTTGTCCACTGGATTTGAGTGTGACTAAGTCGTTCCGCCATTTCGCTTGATATTCATCTCCCCATCGATGAGTCGAGAAACATTCCAGCGTTTTCGGGAACTTCAGTGGAAATGATCTAGATGGAAGCAAGTGCTTCCAGACGGATATAGAATACTCGCGAAGAAATTGGGAACGGCTCAGAACGCAAGCATGCACCATACTTGGTCTCGTAACTCTGGTTGCCTGGCGTCGACATCGCGAGGTCGCTCACAATATCATGTTGTCGAAACCTTAGGAGCAATGTACTACTATTTCGTTGCAGATATGGTATATTTTAATAATCGAAACTGTGGCGCCAAAATAAAAAAAAGAACTTCCCCCAAACGTATCGTCCGTCCATGCTTTGAGGTATTCAATGATCGTCAAGTTTGAAATCTTTATTAGAAAATCACAGTTTTAATTTCTGTAGGATCCTAATTGTCTAAGAATGTGGTCTAAACAAAATAATTTATTGTTCCCAATACCAGTCTCAGAAGTTGAGGTTCTCATCGGTTTGGAGTCTTACGTAAAACTTATTGCTCAAGTCACTGCGTCATGAACACTTCGTAAAAATAACAACACTGGGCTCCCAGAAACGTGGTAGCAAAGTAGGAACTTATGGTAGCTCAGTTGCAAAATGTCTAAGATTTGAAGTTAATATAACAAATCATAATTTGTAATTTCTTAGTCTAAATTTGGTTACTAGCCACCTTGTATTCAGCATTTGCAGGATCAGCGGTGCAATTTTGCGAAATGAACCTGCCAGCACAGGGTGAATGCCCATCATCATCAATCACTGTTCTCACCAGTTCACCGCAATATTACGGGATTTTTATATAGCATCATCTGCTCTTCAACGTCCGATTCACTACAAAAATATTCCTATCAACAAAATTATGTATTATGAATAGCATTATTATATTTATTGCCCTATATTCATTACGCTTTTATGACCGTATGATCTGTAAAATTATGAGTAAGATTAAGTAACGAATACAGACATTTTTAATATAGCGAAAAATGAATGAATCATCATTAAATGAATATCTTGACTATTATTTCCAAAAAGATTGTTTGCCTATAGCCGAAATTGTTCAGAATGATGAGAAACATCAAAACCAAGAATTTTGCCGTCCTATTTTTTTACTGGTATAGAAAGGGTACTTTTTTCTTAACTCTCGAAGAGCGAGATAGACCTTAACAACGCAATAATTGAAGCTTAATACAGGAACAATAATTTTTGAATTTTGGAAAACACCGCATACCGAAGAAATAATTAAGATGCAATGTATATTTGGGCTCCGACTCCTAAATGGGCCCATCAGATCCATCAAGAACTGAGCACTCACTTGTGCTCAGGTGTTGATAATTTGGTACGAACATGTTCGTCCTTATAAACAAAGTCTTCACTAATTTCTAGTCATTTAGCGTATGCGTTCGAAGGTATAAAAACTATTGAGAAGTCGACGCATACGAAGTTCTCGACAACACTGGTAGCAATAAAAAGTAACTGTTTTAGTCGTGCTTCCACCTATTATACCTACCTGATAAAGAACTACTGGCTCCCCATGATCAACAAAACGAGAAACATCTACAGAAGATGCACGTAAATCATACTCAAGCCGATCTCTATTTGTATTTCATTCAGGGATAAAAGAGGCGTAGGTGTTATTAGTGCCGATTTACAAAACATAACCGTTACATATATAAACCTAGACGTTATGGCCGTTCGAAAATTGTTTCCGACAACAAAAAGTATCAGGTAGTCATATATACCTGCGTATAAATAACTTGATGTCATTGGAAGAACGTGGTTGGATAAGAGAATAAACTCGGAGAATTTTAATAGGATTTGAAATGCATAGACCGATAACTATGTGAATATATGGTATTCCAATAAAATATGTCATATAGCAGACTATAATTTCAAGCATAAGAAACCAATATAAATTCTTAGACGAAGGCATCGATTTCGCGTCTCTAGAGGATAATGTGGTATTAGTTTTTTTCTGCGCATAAGTCAGAAAGCTGAGGGGTATTATCGTATCATTTTAGAAATTGTATAAATAAGCAGACGCAGAGCGGGTACATTCTTCATCTTAGGGATACCAGAAGATTCGCCGAGAAGTTTGTTAACCACTAATTATTATGGAATCTCTGAAATCTTGATCCAACGATTCACTACAATAAGTAACTAGGGGGGGGGGGGGGTAGCTGAAAGGCGTAACAGTATAGGTGATTTGTTGCATTTTTGCACTTGGAGGGTTCCCGGCGGATCAGTATTTTTACTACACTCAGTTTTGTGGTCAAATTCACTTGGATGACTTCCTGACGGTCCTTCGTTATACGTATTCACGTGAGTGGATATGCCCAAGATAGCCACAGGTGCTATTCTTCTAATAATTCGTACGAACTATATTCATAGAGGTAATAGCAATTATTATATAATAAACATAGTATATGTAGTAATTATTATTTAAAGAAAAAGCACTGGTTTAGTGTAGGTATTATTTTTTCTCCTAACATCTTTCGTTGTAATTCAGCAAAAATGTCTATAAGGTGTTCAATGTTCAGTCCTGCGAATTCGTGCTCAGGGATACAACTACAGGGTGTTTCTTAATAACGTGCTATATTCCAGAATGTGAACATATGTCAGCTATGAATTATTTTATTTACTACAGTGTTTTGGATTTCAAGGAACAAGCTATATTCGAAATTACTTCAAATGTTTTTAATACCAGCATATAAGAGGACGTAAATGAAATATTTGGGTATAAGTAATCAAAATCTTTCTATTGTGCCACCAGTGGCGTCTTTACGAACCTGTTGGATCCAGGCTAATTATCACTATTCTTTATCCGGACACTAAGAAAAGATAAGTACAAAATTGTAGCCAACAGTATGGTCCTAACTTGGAAAATATTACGGGATGATTCATAACTACGTGGTGACTAAAACGTACCTTTTATTTAGATGGAAAACCCTAGATTTTATTGGAGAAACGAAGCAATTTACAATATGTTATAGGGTTTTACTTTCAAATTGTGGAAATATTGGATCATCTATCAAAAAAATACTCATCTTTGACAACTCGCAGCTCGCAACTGTTACAGCTAGAATACTGATGTTTCGCCAGCCAAATTTTTAAATCTCTTAGTTTGTCCTTCTCTATATGTTTTTTTTTTCATTTTCTGTGTGGTTTGTGTGGCCAATAACGTAAAATGAACTCTTTTTCATAATTTTCAAACGGAACATCCTGTTTACTTTCACATTTTTTGATTTTTTGGGGGTTGGATGACTGGTTTTTGAGTTGCTAAAAACACAAGAACACTTCCTTGACTTTTCGACTTTATTACATAAGACTGGCTTGTTTTATTTTATAATAGGAGTACACCAATTCTAACGATCTACTAACCAAATGCTTTTTTTGTTTTGAAACCTCGAAATCTGATGATTTACAATAGGGTTATCTTTAACTTAAAAACCAATCATACAAGTCTCCATAAGCCTTATATTAAAAAAAAATCTTACGGAAAAGGGAATCAAGGAATGTAAAAATATATAGGGCATTCAATTTAGAAATTGTGCGTTCTTGACCAACTTGATAAACTATCGAAAAAAAAACTGAAAAAGTCATTAGGTAGGAAGAAAATATGGGATCATGAAACATTTCTGACGAAGAAGTTTCATCGTTCTTTTATTTGTTATACGATGAACAAAATATTTAGTATTATTTTATCTGTAACTTGTCACAAAGTCTTTCCGTTGTGTATTTATAATCTACTAGTATTTGTATTACAAAAATCATGAAGTAATATTAAGACTACTTGAATTTTCCAATAACTGACTTCAGAACTACTTGACTTGATTTACATTGCTAATATCTAATACTTGACTCGAACTTGTCTTGATTTCGAGTCAAGTAGGTTGAAAATCAGGTCAAGTCGTGAATCCCCTGAACAGTATTGCATTGATGTCTGATGATGTTAGAGAAAACTAACGGTGGACTGTTTGTTACAGAAAAATGGCTGTCTATATGAACACATCCGGTGGGGCGAAGCGTTCGTGATAGTTTATTCTGTGGTGGACAGACGAAGTTTCCACGAAGCTCAGGACATTTTGGGCCAGTTAGTCAAATTGAAGTTGCCTTCATATTATACCAGTTTACTCATAGGAAATAAAAGAGATCTGGACCATTCGAGGTATGGAACTTTTTATTTATTTATGGTGTTCAGAATAGTGGTTGAGAGCGAAATAAGCCAACTTTGAACAGCTGTTCCGTGATTTTTGGCTTCTCCTCAGCATGGTTCAGGCTTGCGTCTCTCGGTCAGCGAACGAAAGCATAGCAACTGTACACTATACAAACTCTGTGATCTATCGAAATAAGACAGCACGAAGCGCTAGAAACCGAAACACTGCGAAACAATGACTCGGCCTCCAATTCGCGGACTGAGACCTAAATAGTTCCAACCGATTGGCTGCGATTAACTGTTTCGAAATTGTCGTTTCTAGTGTTAGATGGCGCTACTCTGTCTTATTTCGAGTTATTGGCTATTCACTATTAGAATCTCAGGCAGCCACTGTTTAAAATGTGAGACTGTGCCTAATAAGAACAATTAGTAACAGTGAAATAATTAAGAATATTTAATTCCGAAACTGGCTGATTGTGAAACTTGAATATCAGTGTACCGTAAACCAGATCATATCCCATAGCATCCCACCAAAGATTCAAGTCAAACTGGAATACGTGAAACAATGCAAGTGTGACCAATCTATTTCTAACATGTAGTCATGTTGAGGAAACACGAACTTGATTGAGCAACTGATGTTGTCATTTTTTTAATTACAGGCAAGTATGCGTCGACGAAGGTCAAGAAGTCTCCCTCCAATTCGGTTGTCAGTTCTATGAAGTAAGCGCAGCTGAGAACTTTGCGGGAGTATCATTAGCCTTCCAGTCGATGTTGAGAGAAGCGCGGTCTGTTCAGCTGCTCAAGGCGTTACCCATTAGGCGTAAACTGGGCGTCAACAGCGTTAGTAAGGTAATGAATTTTTGCGTAAAACTCAGCGCCCCTACTACACTGAAAGCTTCTCCTGACTTTTCAAACCACGAATACACCCCACTTTTTCTAACCTGCCTACAGGATGCCGCATTTTTTTTTTAGCTGCACACTTGTACAAAGAAAAGATCGTTTTTGTTGTTGGGATCCTTTTTCATGACAGATATAAGATATATTGCAAGATGTCCCCAACAGGTGCTCCACGCTCTTCTCTAGACGCGTTACTAATTTGTTTCGGTCAATAAAAACATACTAAACCGTGAGACAACGATTTGAATCTTGAAAATCTGCTAGTTGTCACTTTTTTAAGTAAATAAAAAAATAAATATTTCACCAAAAAAAATAACACTATATTTTTGGATACCTGAGAAACCGTAAAACTTTTAATTTATAACTGGTGAAAGCAGTGTCCGACATGTTTGGCCCATAAAATAATCTGCTCTGACGTCATATCATTTGTAAACAGCTGCTGACAGTAGCATAACCTCTCATACTTTTAAACATATAAACATTAACTATAATTACTATATTTTACATGGAAATCAGTAGAAGTAGTGTATTTATTGCCCGAGAATGTAAAAAACATAGTTAAAGACCCCAAGAAAGCTGTTGATTAGATTGTCCAGGGAGATAAATAAGTATACTCAACCCCCACCAGATTCTGGATCTTTATCGACTGTAACTTAAATTATATTATTGCGAAAATCACTTTGATGTAATTTACATGAAATTATTCATCAGTTATGTCACATGTATTATTCTTTCTTAAGCCTGTCATTATATCAGATGCACTGTACTTACATGGAAGTCTTAATGTTCCTCAGCGCAGCAGAGCTAAAATCTGAGTTAAAGCCAAAAAATTACCAACCATTCAGTGTCAATTTTCGGCAAATTTGTGCTTTCTGCTTTTACGAATCCAACATCCATGATTGTTATTTTTGTCAATAAAACGAGAAAACGATAACTTTTTACTTTGATTTGGAGTTTTTTTAGAAATATATAAATAGAAGTCAACGCTAGTCCACGAGTGGAATAGGGATACGTTTCTTTGTTTACAATTTGTGTGACGTCACATCATGGCAGCGTTTTCACCGGGTCAAAGTGAAAATATATATTATATCAACAATGCATTTTTAAAAACTAAAATCGATATATTTCGTTTACCTAAATCAAATACTGTAAGAAATACTAATTTATTCTAAGAAATTAGATATGAGTCAAGTAGGCTACTGCAATTTCTTTGCCCCAATTTGTCAAATCCAGAATTGAAAATGATTTTTACCATTCTGTGAATTTTGTTTCAGGTGCTGGGCAACATATTCGGCAACCGTTCCAAAGCAGACAGGAAGAAGAGACCGTCGCTCAGTATCTGATATCATTACCATCGACGGCCAATCGGAGAAGGCCAAGAAGTTGATCCCTCACTTTGCAGTTCCTTATCGATGATGACGTCATCGACCGCAGCATAACGTGCATTTCACATGCCTCAGACCTTTAACTATCCTCATATCCGTGATATTCGGACAGATAATATTCAGATATACAGGGTGCTCAACCACGAACACATTTGGCGTACTTCTTTTGGGAGTTTTATACTTTGGAGCTTGATGATTGGAACTACTCAGAGTAAGTCACAGAAGAACAGACGATTACAAAAGGAACAAGGGCGTGGGGTACTTAGAGCATCTGGACTTCTCGGAGTTTATCCTCATAAAAAAATGTTCAGCGATATGTGCATGTTAGGATCTGTTGAATTCACTGCTCAACATTTCTTAGCATGAAGATATATATGGATTGTGGAATTATTGTTGCTATGCATATATGAGGAAGCTCTACAAGTCAGGCTCTATGCAGTAATTGCAAATGACAGGTGTATAGCATAAAGCCACAAAAGATATGTCATTCATTTGTCTCAGATGCCTACTAGATTCATATATAACTCAATTTGTCTTATTCATTGGGTTTCGAGTTTTTTTTTTAATTCCTCCACATCTCCATGAAGAGCGTAATTAAAAACTACTGTAAATTTAGTTTCTGTTGGATTGATTGTAGAACAATTGGGAGTATTTTCCACTATTTTTTGGTGATGGTGACAAAAAAAGTTAAAATCATTTTGGGACCTGCTATTTTGTTTAATATGGTATGTTATTGAATAATCAGTAGTGAAACATACTCCTACTTGACTTTATGTTGCTTGACAAGCATGCGAATTTGAATAATAGTATATCTGAAATATTCAAGAGAATAAAAATCATATCATAGCTAGCAAATATGTATTTTTAAATAAAATTTGATCTAGAGTTGTATATTACTGTATACTGTTGTTGATCTCAATGAATCGAATTTGTAAAATATGCAAAACATGTTAGTTTTATTTTTATACCTTTACCTTAAGATTTAGGAATAATTTACTGTCTTGTACATCAGGGCTGTCCAACATACGGCCCGCGAACTCCTTTCTTGCGGCCCGCTTCACGGGTCATGTATACATCACATGTATAAATTACTCTCAAATACCGAATATGCACAATTCTTACATTAACTCTGTAATAATGTTGTATAGAAAAATTTTATAATGCGGCACTCCAAACTGCATTTTTTTGAAGTGACCCTTGGGCCACATTAAGTTGGACAGCCCTGTTGTACATGATTAGATTCGCATTCGTGTTTTCAGTGTTGTACAGGTTTTGATTAAAGTATGACTCAACATGTTGAAGGTTAGAGTTCGAATCAAAACTAAGATTTCTAGATGATAAAATCTGAAGAATACATTTTATGCAGTCATACATTAATCTGTACGAAACGTAACGAATGTCTTTTCGCTCCGAAAATATTATTGATTTTTTCAATAAAATCTTTTCTCAGATGCTTTCATAATCATTTAATCCTTTCTTTATACACGGATAATGAATGACGCAGACGATTTTTTTCATAGGAGTTCTATTTTCTTCTTTTCTTACATAATATAATAAAGTTTATAGTATATTAAAAAAGTGATAGAAAATAATACCACCAAAACTTATAAACACACATCAAGCAATTCAGAACTTCTACATTTACTACTTCTCTTTACGCTCACTCAACAGCGAGTTATGTAACCTTGTCACTTCAGCATCAATGAGCTCTGTCACTACACTGCCATTCACATCAATAAAGTAGCCGATGCTCTTTTTGGAACTTGCTTCACGTCTTTTGTTGGTCTTTCCATCTGCTAAAACCAGCACCAAGTTGTAGATATCATCATATCTGGAAAAGATAATTTTGATGATAGACAAAATACAAAGAAACTGAATACAGTTAGCAAAAAAAATTCATGGAAAGAGCTTTGAATTAGTGACATTAAAAAAATAGAGGATCTTATAGCTTTTACATTTGGTAAGAGCGATTTGAGCATTTGTAGCATTAGCTCCAAGAACTTACCTTGCCATATATGAGCTTGCCTCCCAGATACTGCCCTTCTTAGAACCATCCTTTTGAATACACACAGCAAAAATTCCTTTTTCCTTGTAAGTTGTGTATAGTGTTAAAATGCCCATCATCACAAAGTATGTGCTAACACAGGCTATTAAAACAGGCCTGCAAATAAAAAATATATTTAACTAATTTAAAAAATATCAACAGTATTAGATGACTCATAATCATTTATTGAAAAGTTCATGTATCTGTGACATTAAGGAAGCAATGTTATTAAATTCCAGATTTCAGCAATTTTAGTTTGCTCCATTCATGGTGTCAACATTCTGGTTACTACTAAAAAGTTAACAAGTGCCTAATAAAGCATATAATTTTCTAGTGATAATTGAATTATAGATAAAAATGCATATTTGGTGCATATCACAAAATTACTTCTACTTGTTAGTCTACACCAGTGATTCCCAAAGTGTGCGCGGTGGCTCCACAGGGCTCCCTGAAATATGCAATTAAACAATTCAGCAATTTTCTTGGAATTTACAATTCACGAATTTTTGCGCCAACAATCTTGTATGCAGAAAGTACAAATTCAGAAAAGATCTGATGTATTAAGGGCGCTATGAAAAAAAAAAAACACGATTATTTAGAGAGCTGCAAACCTAAAAAAATTGAGAGCGTCATGTGGACCATAGTTAGTTATTTCTTCCACTGCCCTCTGTGAGAATTACTTTCTTAGTGACCCCCAAAATTATTCAAGAGTATGTCCAACTAGGGGTTATCTGTAATTGAAAATTGAAGAGGGTGTCTTCTGCATCAGTGCATCTAAGAATAAATGCCCTTATAAAAGTTAAGGAATGGGAGGTGGTATTGACAAATAGAAAATTAAAGGGCAGGGAGGGGGACTGAAGAGTCGAGGACAAAAATTATCCATTGCATTGCCCCCAAATTTTCCTTAGGCTCCTTCTGCCCCTCTGAATGCCTACATGAGAGCATTATGCCCATTTTGAAAAACAGTGGTCTAGAACATCTAAAAATTTGGAAAACTAAGAATTTACACTATTGCTTGCCAGTTGCTTACTTTGATTGAGGGAATGGGTATAAGTAATCCCACAACAATGCAAATGTTGCCACACCCACAGCAATTCCACATATAAGCAGCCTGCCATCCATCAATGCAAAGTTTTCTACATAGCCATATTTGTGTGTAAGTACCTGCAAGAAGATAAAAAAAATGTGATAGATTCTAAATTATGATGAGGAATATGATTATTACTGCTAGTTAGGCTAGGATTCATATCAAAGATTATAAACATGTTATTTGTAATAGACATCAAAATGTAAAAAATAGGTTAGCTTCTATCAAATAAATACAATGGATAAACGCATGATAACCAAAATAAGAATTGTATGATAGCATCTTGCCTATGCTTGAAATACAAGTTATTGGAAGCAGTAATATTTCAGAGGCTACTGCAATTTGGTTATAGTCATTAGATAAGGGACAAATAATGGATCAGACAAACACAGGTTAAATTTTACAACTTCCAACCAGATACTAATTTTATATCTGCCTATATACATTTTATATTTGAACCCAATGTTCAGTTGGAACATAAGAGAGAAGGTCCAATTGGTAACTTGTGATCTTCAATTTTTTGACAGTGTCTCAAATTGGCAAATTTGTCTAGTGAAGACTTCTATTTTATATTTTTGCTAAGTATATTTGTTCATTAGTCTGTGACTTGTTGGTGACTGTGACTGGCATCTGGCCATGTGAATTCTGGCTAAATGCCATAGCAGAGTGAACAGAATTTGTGTTGCAAGATCCTTGTCACAATCACAGACAGGTTGGTGACACCTATATGAACAGAGCTTTTAAATGACAGACAGCTGCAAATTGCACTTGAAAGTGAACTGAATGACTTTGGAGCAAGTCTGTACCTCAAATCCAGGCTAGGTTAAGTCCAAATAAGAAGTTTTGAGATCATTCTATTTGAAATATTTTTTTGTGTTGAATTGTATGCGACCTGACATGAGTTAAAAATTCATAACTTCCTTATTATTACAGATAGATGGATGCTGCATGTAGCAAGTGAAATTCACAATATTATCATGAGCTTAACATATTAAACTCATTTTTGACAAAAATTTACTTAACCTAGTCTAGCTCTGCGGTACAGAACTGAATTTTAGGATACTCCATCCTGAACTCATACTAGCATGAAAATTGAAAATGTATATAAAGAAATGTGTTGGGTACTTACTTCTTTAACTGCATCATCAAGCGCATTTTTTACTGCCGATCCATCCCATTTATTAATTTTGATAGGCTACAAACAAATATTTTCATTATTTGAAAACATGGTGAGTAAAACATAGCAAACCTTTCCATCTTTACTATCCTTTTCCTTTGGAGCCATACCGGTCTACTGAATATATGAAGAAATATAATAAGATATTACTTTTATTTTATCAAACTTCAGGAATAATCACCAAACGAAAAAAATGCCTATGTGTACCACAAATATGTACCATCACCATTCCCATTCGTTTTGATGACATTGACAATTTTTGACACTAGCATGACAAATACACGTCGGATAAAGCGAAATCTGCACAGATTCCTGTAAAGTGTTGCAGGTGCTACTAACATGACTGCAGATGTCGCATCTGCATCAAATAGAAAAATCAAACATGCTTTCGAGTCATTCTCTTTTGTCATTCCTTGTGCATTATGGAATTAAGGAAAATAATGAGCACAACTACGTAACAAACCGTATTTTGACTTTCAATTTAATGTGTTGGAAAGATTTTAGTAGTCCTCGTTGATGCTGCCATCTAGAGGGCTAAGGAAAAAGTTGTGTGTTTCTAGTTAAGATTGCCACCTGTAGATGGCAAATGACGTTCCCGCTTTGAGAAAAAATTGAGGTTATCTTATGGTAACTTTCAAATTGTAGAACAGCTTGATTGTAATGAACGGCTTCAAAACCTTATTCATGTAAACAATTGATAAAAACACTTCAAAAAACTTGATCAATGCCTTGTAATCAATTAACACTATGGAGGCGTATTTGAAGAGAAAGAATGATACTTTGAGCTCAGGTACCAAATATTATGCTCTTTTTTCATCATGATCTCAGACAGGTGCATATTTCAGGAAGTCTCTCTAAGAAGCCGAAAAAGGAGATCTGTCCACACGCTGAAAGATGCTACCGTAAAAACCCTCATCATTTCAAAGAATTTGAACATCCTCATTGTATGTAATAACTGTATGTCATACTTAACAAATTTACAAAATGTTTTAATTTTCAGTGAATGACTTTATTAAAATGGGTGATAATCTTAAAATTCCCAGTAACATGCCACAACCAGAGAGCTTGTATAAGGAGCAGCTTGAAATCTTGAACCCTATACTAAAAGCTGATTCAAGAGTTGTTCCTGCTGAAAACACTAATTCAAACACCAAATCACCCACTAAGGACAGGAACTCAACACAGAAAACTCCAAGTGCTTCTAAACCTGGCAACTCTAAAGAGGTTGCTGGCTCATCAAAAGGCAGAATTTCTAGTATGGGAAAAACAACATCTTTCCAAAGCTCTATTGATACCGGTGATGAGAAAGCTCCACCTGGGTCTATGTTGGAAAAGCTAGAAACAGTAGCACCATATAATTTATTTTTTACTACAATTAATAAAGCACCTGCAACTTTAACCCAACCAAATGCAATTACATTCACAGGTATAGTAATCTTAACTTTTTTTGAGTAGGGGGCCCTTCAAGTATTACATAAGCAGATTTATTACAATTATTTACCCCCCCATCCCCCATGTCAGCAAAAGTAAGCAAAGCTCTTACCCCCTTTCCCCATGCTTACGTAAACATTTGTCAATTAATGTATTGTTTTTTTTTTAATATTATAATTATGACGATATAATTATAATTTGAAAAAAATTAGAAAATAGATTTAGGATAGAGATTATATTTTACTGATACAGTATTCAACATAGAGTAAAGGACAAAAATATTATATCTTACTAACATAACAAACTTATTTTAGAAGTTTTGGTACATATATTAAATCCAAATTAAGTCTTCAGTCCGTGAAACCTGAATCCATGATTCTAAGTTTTCGATGACATTGGATTGCTTCGATGGCTGCTCAGTGTTGTGAGTTTTACTCACTTTCATCGGATTTTGGAATATCTACGTCGTTCTCATCGAGCCACTCAACATCATGGTGCTCTTAATTTTGAATAATGCACATCAGTTCATTAGCACGACGAGCAGCGACTCTTACAGGTCTAACTTTCCTGTCAGTGTGCATGTTTACTTTTTTATGAATATTTTCGATCGATAGTGACTCGACGGAAGCATGATAAAGACCACACATGCATATTTTGCATGTGTGGCCTCAATTTTACTGTCGGACAAAAATAATCGTAGGGCATTTGCAGGAAATCTTTGAGTAAAGACTTAAGTGTAGAGCTAAATTGACTGGAAGATTAAGAAATTGCCCTCCTTCATCCAAAAACCAAGTCATCAACTGTTTGTTTTACTTTTACAGGTGGTGGAAGAAACCTATTGTCTAGTAATCTAAATAGGCCACTTCTTGGACGACAGCATTCTGTATTTCTACATTTTACAATTTGAAGCAAGTATTGGCTCTCATGCACATGTTCTGAAAACCATTTAATGTCTGGAAAATCATTGAACTCCATACTTCAGCTAATACATTTCCTGCAAATTCGAAATTAGATCTTTCTAAATGTTCATCAATTGTAATGCCACTTTCATCCAAATGAGACCCAAAATGGTCATGAGGCAATATTAAACCAGCCAGCTCCCGACTAAGAGGAGCCATTCTGCGCTCTACTCTGTTATACGCACTTCTTCCAGGAAAATTGGTAGCTAAAAACAATGCATCGAGATCATGTCGCTTAAAGTGTTGTATAGCAAATCCTATGACTTTTTGATAATGGTCAGTTTTAGCTAATGGTCGAAACTCTTCAAGTTCGAGAAGCGCCTCGAAAGCCTGAGCATCAGGATTAGCAGTAGATGAACTATGCTTTCCACTTCGAATAGCGATGTATGTTGGACCAGAATATCCAACGGCTTGCGGTTGTCCTAGCATATTGGAAGTGATTTTGATACCAGCATAAACAGATGGTATTAATTTATGACGCTCAGCGATTACCCAATCGTGAACCGGGAAATTTGATTCTATATTCCATGAGCATTAGAAGAGGTGCTTGCTTATTTGCCGCAGTTACTCCAATAGGGACTCGAGCTTTATCATCTTGAGATATGAAAACTACTTGATCTGGTCCAAGTATGGATGCTATGTTCTTTAAATAATGGATTGATGTTTCAGCGAACTTGTTATCTAAGTGGCTCTTACGGTGGTCAGTTTGAACCTGAATGAGCTTAACAGGGACTGTCGATACATGTACTTCATCCCTCTGCAGAATTAGATTTTCTGGGAATCAAACGAAGATATGTCCCACTGCGACTAATGTCAAATCCTATTTTACGTAATTCTTGTGTGAGTTCATCAAGAGTTTTTACGCTGCGAATTGAATCCGTTCGTCTTCTATCATCTGCTGCACTCCCAAATAAAGCTATATCCGCGATTGTTTTCAATAGTGAATGTTGATTGCTTTCAAGATTAGGACGTCCCACTGAATCCCTTCTAACTTTCTTTTCGTACCATTCCTGTGTTTCTTCTGGGCAACTGCGTTTTGAACCTTCCTGTTTAAAGACTGTTTTGCTGTTTTTATTTCCTCGCGCAACTTAATGATCTGTTTATCAACTTCAGCATGGCTTGGCATACTATCTCTGGCAGAATACAAAGCATTCAGATTTTACTCAATTGGAGCAATCTTATTTTTCATAGCTTCCTGAGAAGGTTTTGCTCTCTGTTTATCTGTATTTTCATTAATTTCGCATTGCTGCTGTGATTCATTACCGGGTTTTATTTTATCTTGTTCATCTTTGTGTTTTTTCTGCAGGTTTACAGGTTGCCTAAAAATAAAAACTTTCTATGGCTTCTGCTAAAGATTCTCTGATTAAGCTACATAAATACAAAGTATGGCAATATATATGGTAAATACAAAACCCTATGGCTTTAAATCTAATATGTTTAAACGAGCAATTCGTTCCGGTCACAAAATACAGGGTGTTAGTTTTCTGTATATATGTATAAAACTAACATCCTGTACTTTGTGACCAATTGACGGAATCAATCATAAGAAATAAATCTATAATATAATGAATATTACCTCTATACTTTGAGATAGGCCATAATATTTTCTAATCAGTAAAGAGAAACTTTTTGGCGATTTCTAATATTTCTAGTACTCATAGGTACCTAAAATGATCACTCACCTTAGAAAAAAAATTTAGTAGATTGGATTTATTCTTAGTCGCCGCTTACAATTCTTCTTCGATTCTCGTAGATACAATAATATCTAGTTCCTTGTCGGATTTTGCTTGTAATTTGTAATTTCGCCACACTTCGTTAACTACCTTTTGTACTTTCGTACTTGTATGAGATTTTTTAAAACTTTCAAACAATTTTTAGTATAACTTGGATATGCCTATGTGAAACGACATCTTATTTAAACATTAAACTTTGGCTAATGGAATCAATGGTAACACAAATGTTAACTTGCTTTACTATGCTTACAATACGTCTACCCGCGATAGTATCCAAACGAAACAATACACTGATAGAGGAAATTTAGACAAGTGAACACCACGCGGTAATTCCCCTACTCGGTTCTAAAGCGAGTAGGGGAATTACCGCGCGCTGTTCACCTAACGTATGCATTATTTGCGGGAATCCCCGAAAATGCGTTTCGTTTTCAAGCAGAGACAATGTGAGGATTGCCATTCGTGTAAAAAGTAAATAACTACCGATGACGTAATCATCATCTAGACTCCCCTACCCCCCCATGTCATCCAAAATAAGCAAAGCAAAGACCCCCCCGCCCCCCCGTAGTGCTCACGTAATACTTGAACGGCCCCTAGCTGCTTATAAATAACACTGTCTAAGTTAGCTCGTTCTTTGAATAAAATCTTCATAAATCCTAACTGTAGGTTGAATTATCCTAAGTTTTGCACTGAAAAACTAGATCAATAATGGATGAAGTTCTTTGTGAAAATACTGATGCGATTCTTGGGATTGTTGCTATCTGCTCTAATTATGTTATTTATTTTTAGATTTATTATGTCCTAGTTTGGGCACGTTGAAATGTTCTTTACAAATTAACTTTATGATAGATATTGATTGGCTATTAAAACAATATAAAGCAAGAGGATTGAGGTATTCTGCTACACATTTGGTTATTAGGGCTGATTTTATTGCTTCTCTTTTTTAGTTCAAAACCACTTACAATTTTATATGGTGATGATTGGCCTGATTTGGATAAATTCATTGACAAATTTTGTCCACATGTTACATATAAATTGATGAAAATGAAAGATCCATTTGGAATACATCATTCGTAAGTAATAACACTTCAGATGCAAACAGATATGAAAATATTCTCTTCTCCAGGAAAATTGGTATTTATATCTATGAGGATGAATCTCTCAGAGTAGTTGTATCTACAGCTAACCTTTATTTCGAGGATTGGAACTATTACAATCAAGGGTAAGACCTTTATAGTATTCTGGATCTAGTTTTGTGTTGGATGATCTTCAGAAAATCAAAAAAATACTTCAAAAAAGAAACACTCTGCCTTCTTTTAGCTTGATTAAAGCTGTAGCTATGCAAATGCTTGCAACATGAACTATCAATTCAGAATTAAAATTTAATTGATTAATATATTTTCATAATATAACCATATATGATATCAATGATGATGATATGTGAAGATCCACAAAGTATATTTGTCTGGCTCTTGTTGTAAGATATTGATTTAAAATCTTGTACATGTAGTTACTGACATCATAGCCAATACATAAAAAATGTTTTTTTGCGTGAGGTTACACCAGTGCAGTGGCTTAAACATAGGGAAATTTCAGCCCATACAGAAAAAAGAACATTATTTTCTACCACTTATTTTTTTTAAACATCTGTTGCATTGTGGAATTGGGTATTTAATTTTACACACCTGAGAGATTTTTGTTTTTTGAATTATATCGATTTTATTTAAATAATTTGTCCATAGCAATATTTTAATCTGTTTCTGTCACGTTTTTTAGTGCTCGTCTTTAGTTAAATGTTTGTATTTTTTATGTTTCAATGTTTGCTTAATTTTGACTGTCCTGCACTATAATGTTATCTACTTATTTATTTTCTGTATATTTTTTACTCAATTGTTTCCATTAACATGTTCTATGTCATCCTATGATGGTCTAACAGAATTCATTAAGAAATAAAATGAAATGAATTCTACTTTAAAAATAAGCTAAGGTTAGTGAAGTGTGAAATTGAAAATGTTATGTAGTGTATTAGGGGAGTAATCCTGGTTCACCATAGCAATGGACGAATGTTTATGTTTTGTCCTGATTCAGACTCTTTCTGTATCTTGGTAATGGAACTTTTTTTTTGGTTGTATGTTTTACCCTGGATGCATTGCAAAGTTTTTCTGAAAGTCCTTGTTTAATATTATAACTTTCTTTCAGCCTGTGGTTAAGTCCTGCATGTCCCAAGTTGTCTGATTCTCACAGTGATAAGGATGGAGAATCTCCAACAGGATTCAAGAAAGACTTTTTAAATTACCTGAGATCATACAATGAACCTATTTTAAAACCTTTTATAGATTATGTTAGAAGAGCCGACTTCAGTGCTGTAAGGTAAACAATATTTTTTAGACTCGAAATTATTTCAGACAGTATCTGCCCCCTGACCTATTGCTGGATTCTTGGATAAGTTGTATTGTGTCTATATTATTTTGCAGGTATCCCTGTTTCCCCCTATAGCCCCACGGTACCCAATGGGTGTTTAGGCCTTAGGCCTTCGTGGTAGTTGGAGTATAAAAAAATATAATATGTTTATCTATGGATATTTATTTTCAGAGTGTGTTTTGTAGCCTCGATACCAGGCAAACACACAAAAAATGAACATGCTACCCATCTGCATACAGTTGGAGATCTACTCAGCAGGCACTGTGTTTTACCAAAGAAGACAACTCCCCAAAGTGAAGGTCCTCTATCATGGGGAGTCATTGCTCAGTCATCAAGTATTGGGAACTTAGGAAAAGATGCTGCTCAGTGGTTTAGGGGGTCTGTGTTAAGGTACTGTTGGATGGTTGTCGTTTGCTATAATGTGTATTTCACGAGTATCCATCACGTTTTGACGTCTACTGAAGGCAACAGCTGATTGTCAAGTGGCATCTTTGAGTTAGTTAGTCTGTAACATTGGCAATGATGAATCAGGTTTAAATCTACGTAGTAAAACTTGCATGTAGCGTTTTTTTTTTTCTAAATAAAACAGTTGTTAGCAAGTTCAGAACGAATCTGTAGCGTTAAAAAAAAAGATTCTAACTACCTGGCGTTGACGGATCCGTCAGAATGATGTGAACTTTAAAATATTACTAGATAATCAGCTGTTATTCTGCCATGGTGTATATTCGTGAAAAAGACATTACTTTATTTTTTGTAGACATAGCAAAGTTTTCCCTTTTGTTTTAAACTTTTGTATACCTCACTTTTTCCTGTCTGGTCTGAGTATGCAGAAGGTATCCTTTAACTCTTATAGGCGTATATAATTCATCATTAATTTGAACATGATAGGGCAAGCTGACATGAACAGTGGTTTGCTTAAGTTGCCTGTACATATCTTGTCTGTTTTTGCAGATGTGCCTTAGATACTTCTTTACATTTCCGTTCCTAAATTGCGTTCTTCTGATTATTTATTTTTTTAGGGCTTTATCAAGTCATACAAGCTGCCCTATGCCCATGTCCTCAAATGCGTCGATAAGCATGGTTTACCCAAGTGTAGATAATGTAATGACAGGTTACTATGGCCCTGAAAGTGGTGGCTGCCTACCTTATTCCAAAGCTACAAATGAAAAGCAAAGATGGCTTCAGGATTACTTGTAGTAAGTTATTTGCTTTTTAGTCCTAGTGACTACACTGTAGGTTACTACATTTCTTTTTCAGTCAGTGGAAAGCCGAGGCATACGGACGGACCAAGGCAATGCCTCACATCAAATCTTACTGCCGAGTTTCACCGTGCCTCACCAAACTGGCATTTTTCCTCCTGACAAGCGCAAATCTATCAAAAGCGGCTTGGGGAGGACCTTTCAACAAAGACGGATCTGTTTACGTGAGGTCCTACGAAGCTGGTGTTTTATTCCTGCCAAAGTTCTTTGATCAAGAATATTTTGAGATCAAGAACACCACAGCTAATAAAAATGGCACGCTGTTTCCTTTTATGTATGATCTCCCTTTAACGCCGTATAGGAAGGACGATTATCCTTGGTGTAATTAGGGCTGGTTTGCAAGGGATATTTATTTATTTTTATTTCACTAGGATAAGGGTATTGAGGAAATATATACACTACTTTATAATTGATTCTATTTCTACTTACCTCGCTAATAGAGATAAAAAATTGAATTCGCGATGCCCCTTTTTTGGCTGCAGGAAGCATAAGTATGACAGACAACAAACATTGGTTAAATCTACACCCTGCGCGTCACTCCGTCTAAGAAAAAATTGGAATTTGTAGTAATGGGAACAAACAGATCATCACAAGGCGTAGATTTTCCTATTTTTCCGATTTTTACAAAAAAGCCTATAATTTGAAAAGTACACGACTTTGATTTTTTCTATTATTCTGATAACTATTATGACTTGGTGGCCTATACCCCGTTTCCGGCTTATCGTTGATTTCTGGATTATTTGTGTATTTGGTATATTGTATCGACAAACTAGATATTTTGATTTCGATTTGCACCAGTTGCTTTACCTCCATATTTTTTTGTCTTCTATTCAAGGTTTTTATAATGGTTCATATTAGAGCAAAATTAAAGAAATCGTTTTATTCATAATATTTAATAAAAACAAATTTAACAAAAGCATTGTCGATCAATCATACATGATACAAATATACAAATATATCATTGCTAAGCTACATACACATTTGCTTGTTCAAAGCTTTTAAAAACCTTATAACACAAAAATTATTGGTTTGTTGGGCAAATCACTAGTTAAAATGTTTATGATATGTTAATATGATACATACTAAATTCGAACATCTCATCAGCAAAACAATGTTGATTACCATCTAGACATCGCCAAAAATGTGTTCATATCTTAGAAATCTTAGGGACTTTTGAAAGCCCGTTTTTCTATTACATTTAATGGCATTTCATCATTAAAAATGTCATGAGCTCAGAAAATTTTGAGAGTATGTTATAATAATATAATTTGTTGCTTCTAAAAGCATAAAATGATTGTGATGTTTTGCTCATGGAATGTTCTATACTAATGTGCTAACAATATGATGAGTGAATTGTTTCTCTATTTTGCTAAAACAGTCTACAGCGACATATTATTATCCTTTTATTACAGTCTGAGTTATGATCATTATCTTTGATTGCGCGAATATGATCAATATTTTGCAGCTACATCAGTAGTAGCACTCTTGTTTTCCTACATAACAAAATAAAAAAGTCAAAGTGAGCACTCTACGTTATCTCTAAAGCTAACGCGGTTACATTGGCACTTCTGATTCAACGCATTCTGTTTTCGGTTACACTCCGTTTGTTTTACGTAAAAAATGGCGTTTTCGAATTTTGGCCGGAAAATAGTAGGCATAATTAGTTGAATTAGCTTTTTGCTATAGTTACACTTTAAACAGTGTGTATGCTTTTGAAGCAATGACACACTCTGACTGATATATCTTCATTTTTCGACTAGGAACTTTTACAAATATTATTGAGTATATACGAAAAGGCCATTTTTTTCACTTGGGTATTGTTTATGATAGCCTTACAAAAATATCTTATCGGATATGGAATGTTCGTATAACAGTGACGTCATTCTAATGCAGTGGAGCATAATGGTATCAGAAGGTGTCTAATAATTGTCCAGTACACATGCATTTTGAATAACGCAGCATATTTCCAAGACACATTTTTGTTTTTGAATGACATTGGCCAGACCTAAACGACACATAATTGACAAAACGTGCCTTCGAAGTGGCATATTCGTACGTTGATGGCGAGTACACCCATAATTATATACTTCTTACACAACATTCTTACATAATGTAGATCTAAGAAGTTCTCAATATAGAAGATTTAGGACCAAAGAACTGAAGTGGTGCATTTACTCCCGAGTGGCAAATGATTCGGTTTGTTGTACGAGTTTTTTCTGCGTGAAAACCCAAAATTGGAACATTACTAGCATCTTCATTTTCATAGTTTAATGATCCGAAACTCTGCTAGATTGAAAACCAAACTTGTTTCATGATTAAAATGGTATTCTCACTTATTATCAGTTTTATTATAAACACACGTTTTATGCGTTTATTACGTATATCGAGTTACAATATTTATAACAAAGCTATAAGCCATTCCAATTTTATAATACAATAATGCAGCTTTTGATAATTGTCGATTTGCCATCGTTTAACTTGGGGATATCCAAACCTTTTACAATACCATGCTTACAGAAATATGACGACCTAATGATCAAGACATAAATTTCTGTTAAGGAGGTTAAGCCGTATGTCACTTTTGCGGGAATTTTTTGTAGTAGAGCGTTAATTTACTCCACAAGATCGTGATTTCTATTCATATACAAAGCGGAAGATATTTTGTCTGATAAAAATACTGGGACATTCTGTCGCGGCTGACAGGATCGTTTTTATCATTTATATCGGGTTTTCCAACAGGGACTTCACAACTTTGAACTTGCACTGTGAACACACCTTTAAATCAATTACCGAACTGTCAATGTCAAAATATTCAGTAAAGAAAACACTTTCCTCCTACAACATGTTTGGTTTCTGGGCCACTAGACCTGACAGACACTGACATTACAGTGACTATAAACTAAAGGCTAAGGTCCTCCGGACCGCCTTGAGAAGCAACGACGAGTAGTATAAAACATTTTCATCATGGTGAAGTACACGAACGAACAACGCTTTCAAATAATTGAAATTTACTTCCGAAATTCCTAGTCGGTGACTGCAACTTTAAGAGCGTTAACGCCAATTTGTGGTCGTTTTTCTCGTCCCAGTAGACAAGCAATTCATAGTCTAGTAAAAAAACGTGACATATTCGCTGCTGGATGTTCAAGTGTCAGTGAGAAAACGGGTTGGTCGAAGAGGCGAAAATATTGCTGCCGTTCAAGCTTCCGTCGCAAACCGACAGAACACGTCGATTCCACGGCGTTCTCAAAAATTGGGCATCGCTCAGACCACACTATGGCGAATTTTGGGACGAGATCTTGGCCTGCACCCTTATAAGATCAATTTAACCCAAGAACTAAAGCCGTTCGATCATATGAACCGACGTACGTTCTCGAATTGGCCGCTAGAAATGTTGCAAGAAAATGACCGATTTCATCGCAAAATCATCTTCAGTGATGAAGCGCTTTTTGGCTAAACGGCTTCGTCAACAAACAGAATATGCGTTATTGGTCAGGTAAAAACGTCCATGTGCTTCAAGAAACACCACTTTATCCACAAAAAATATCTGTATGGTGTGGTTTTCATGTCGTATTTTTTCGTTGATGAAAATGACCGTCACGTTACAGTCGACGGAGATCGCTACAGAGACATGTTGCAACGTTACGTTTTTGGTCAATTGGATGTTCTAGACATTAATGATATGTGGTTTCAACAAGACGCTGCTACAAGCCACACAACGGGCGAAACAATCGACATATTGAAATCCAAATTCGGTGAACGTGTTACATCGAGAAATGTTCCTGTGGAATGTCCGCCTAGATCGTGTGATTTAACACCTCTAGTCCTTTGAATTGTGTGGCTACATTAAATCATTGGTCTATGCCAACAAGTCGGCGTTGTTAGAGCAGCTCAGAGCGAATATTGAACGAGATATAGCGGCCGTTTCTGTCGAAATGTCTGGCCGAGTCATTGAAAATTGGGTTCAACGAATCGATCGCTGCGTACGTGCCCTTGGTGGACATATGAACGAGGTCGAATTCCAAACATTAATGTTTTGAGTATACTTCAGTTCAATAATAAAATATTCGAGATATCTTAAATGGTTTGCGTTTTATTTAAAAAGAAAGTTGTCAAGTCCTTGGTGGAAAACAGTTTATATATGTTCAGTGATGTATGAAAAAAAATCTATGAAAACATTGAACAATTCTGAATTATGAACAGAAAACAAATCTGAATATCCCAAACTCGCGAGGCATAGTTTTTTTTTCAACAGATAACAGCGACTTGCAGCACCTAAGTAGTTCAGCTATATCTAATGCATGTCCTGCTGTCTCGCATCCATCACTTGATTCTCTCACTATCTAAAAACATCACAGGCTACTGATAAATCCTTAATGAATAATGCCAACAGTTCTCAACAATCAGATTCACGAACTGCAGCGAGCTTATTATGTTACTTTTATTTTGGGTTTTGTTTTACCCTATAGATCGTCACGAAAATATTTAATAAAACAGAAGCTCCAAACACAGTTCAAGTTCTAAAGATAATGGAAAAATTCAATACGTCTACTCTGAAATACGACATATACACTTTAAATCACTGTTGTAAATTTGCTCATAACAAATATGGTTATCCATACATAACAATGAAAAATCTAGATTAATTTTTTGTACCGATTATGATGATGATAAACAGAATCCAAAGCAGTACCTAGTAAATTTTAAAATCTATTTTCGGACATATTTATCTGTGACTTAAGATAATCATATTGACTTGCATTACCATTATTTTTCCTTACCCCTAACATGGAACACGTGTTTCCAATATTGTGATTTCTTATCAATGATATCCAGTATACAGACAAGGAAATAAATGTTTCTACCTTGCAAAAATAAGAACAATAAAGAGATACTAGAATGATGAAATTAATGCCAATCTAGAGGTAAGCAGTTCACAGAACTCATCCTTGTATGTACTTCATATGATATGAAGCAATGTATTTCCCGTACATTCGTATACTGTACCTATAATTGCTGATGTATATAATACTTTGGTAAATGTTGATATAAACGGTCTACCAAAAATAGGATTTCTACAGTTATATTTGCAGTCACTACTCACTATAAAAAAGATGCAAATAATGCTGCACAGCTAAAATGTGACTTTTAAAGCACGAATAGTTTTATTGCTCATATAATTCGTAATAATTCTTTTTCGTTTGTATACTATGTTTTAAGTACATGTTATAAAGAGTTTTCAACACATGATTTGTGCGCAAAATAGCAAAGAAAATAACAACTTTTGAGGAGTCTGTTGATCTAAAATTTAGCAAATGTGTAGTTTGTAAAAATATATGTTTCCACTGGCACTTATAATAAGTGTCTTACTTACCAATGTTGTCATGAAGCTCTAGGTAAGATTATTTGATGATTCATCCGTTTTACGAACGAAAATACAACTTTGTTTTGAATTTTGTATCAACATAATCCTGATACACTTGACTTGACATGGGACAGTTTCTCGAGTATTAGAAGGAAAACACTGCCACCTTTTGTCATGTGCTCGATGAATCCGACTTTTGCGATGTTTGATGGAATAAACACTGCATAGCCAAAGAGTAGTTTTATCAAGAGAAAGCCATTACAATTCGTCGATCGATCCCATTGACCTTTCAAACTTACTATCATTGGTTTACAAATAAAACAGGGATCTGTGTCCTAGGCTATCAAGGCGGTGTTACCAAGCTGCCATCAAATATTTATAAAATGCTACATTTAGACTAAGCAGTTTTCAGTGATTATGTCAAAAAAATCATACGGAATAAATAACTAGACCGGCGATTGGTTTAATAAGCAATTTGAGGTTAGGAAACACTAGAATTTCAAGCTAATATACTTCTTTGACTACAGGACTATCACTGTGACAGACTCAGAAAAGTCGTATAGTCTTCCGCGTTGGACCCTAAATGTTAAATATCTCTGTGATAAACTTACAGCTTTTAAGAATAGCTTATCTTGCATTAAGTGTGATTTATATCTTAATCGAATGAAAAATATATTTTGTATTTTGCAAATGGATGATAAATATGGCAACAACGCATTTATTTCAGAGAATAGCCTTCTCTCGAATTTTATTCTTTTGTCTGTTTTCTCTTTGTATAACTACTCTGTGACATAGCTGCAAATTACGTTATTTTGGTGAATGATGAGTTGAAATGGCTATTATTATTAATTTTGCTGGTATTCATAAAAATGTGTGAAAGGAACTGTCGTATATTTGCGAATATGTGTCTTCCTGTCGGTTTTTAAACTCCTTATTCGCTAGGTGACTGGATGACAGCATTGTTCCTTAAAAGCATATCACTTTGTGTAAATGCGTTCATCTACTGCAAATATAACTTCACAGTGTTATTTTATTGTTCTCACATGGACTCCATTTGTTCTGTTAATTCGAGGATCGGACTTTCCCTAAGTGGCAGTAGTGGAGGCCAGACGTTCGCTGATAGGTTCACGGAAGGAAACTGAGATCCCTGCTGGACAAAAATAATTTTATTTATTCTCTGCGTCCAGATACCAGTACACAACAAAAACTAAATACAAATCAGCAAAGAATTTGTAAGCCATTTAGCTTGGTCAACTGTAACTTGAACTGAATGCTACTACATACTAAATGTATCTCTTGAAAAATTTAAAGAGTGCTATTTTGGCTTGAAAACTTTTACTGGCTTCGGCATATGATTTTGCGTAGAACCTCTAGGCACAATTACACGGGACAACGGCAGTCTCATTTTGCCTTAGTGACCTTGAAATATTCCCTGAAATCAGGCCAGGTTCGATTCGGAAATCAAGTATTTTTCTTTATAGACTTTCATGCTATTTTTCAACTTCTTGCATAAATATGCAAATTTCGTTTAACTTACCATTTATAGTTCAGTTACATTGCATTGCAACTTACCTGTTTTGTTGGGAGATCCTATTGAAAGTCCATAGATTGAGGTAGAATTTATATGAAATTGCTAATAGATATGTACTTTGGCATATTTACAAAGATCGTAGACTTGTTCGCATATATATTGTTTAGTTGGGATGAAAAAAACAGAGCTTTGGGATTCTTCTCCACCCTGCAAGATATTTTCTTCAAAATGTTTGATGGTTCTTCGTGAAATCCCTAATATACTTCTAAATCAAACATATCGTGCAATATCATGTTTTTGTGATTTGTCAAAAACTGTACATCAAGTTAGATTTGAAAGTTCAATCGATGGTCATAAAAATGTGAGGAAGCATGGGAAAGGAATTTTTGATCTCTGTAAATTTAGGCAGACCGACAAATTTAAGGAGTTAATCTTTGATACCTGCCGTTCACGATTAAGAATGGTGAGACATTTAAAATTATTCATTTATCTCCTTTCGTTAGTTCTGCCGGCACGCAGGCCTTTAAAATAAAAATGAATTATTGTATACTCCACCTCTTCTGCTCGACGCGTCTGCCAAACTAACTTACGAAAGTAATTTCGTCAGACTATATTTGTTAATCCGCCTGTCGACGTCACTGCTCCCGTTCGAGACGTCTAAACAAAAAAACTTTGGATGCTAACTGTACAGGTTTTTTTTGTTTAGTCCACCTGATGACGTCATTGCTCCTGCTCTAGGCATTCGGCAAATAAACTTACGATGTTAATTGCACCGGACTTTTTTTTCTTAATCCGCCTGGTGACGTCACTGCTCCCGCTCGAGGCGTTTGACAAGTAAATATGCGAATGTAATTCCACTAGGCTATTTCCGTTAATATGCTTGATGACGTCACCCGATTTTTTTCGTTAATCCGGCTGATGACGTCACTCAAGGGCGCTCGCAAGGGGTGGTCAGCGAACCTTAAAATTTGCATATTGAGCGTGATTTTGTGTACAATTTGAGGATTTTAGGATTTGCCCCCGCTGGGAAAATTTGCTACCCTCGCTCTTCAAAAAGGTTTTGAGACAGGTACACTTTCACAAAAAGTTATGTCTTGCCGGCCATCGGCTCTCCTGAGAAAAATTTCTGCCGCCGCCCATGATCGTCGCTGCTCCCATTCGGGGCGTTTGACAAATATACTAAGTGACATATAAATCCGAACACCCAGTTTAAATGGTTTTATTTTAATAAAAGTTGGTGAATGTATTTATCTTACTGTAAATAACAAGTGAAAAAATGTTCAGCCTTATCAGTTGGACATTCCGGTTTTTATACTGCTTTTTTTTAATTCACTAACGCTCTAAAAATGAGTATTTCAGCCGCAGTAAAGAATCAGCGTTGGCGGATTTTGGTTCTTGACATCCTTTACGATCGGTTACGATGCCTAGAGTACGGAGACCTGTACGATTTCGCAAACTTAGTGAGTTTGATAGGGGCCGTATAGTGGGACTTCGGGAAGCTGGACTTTCTTTTCGGGCAATTGCAGTTAGAGTGCAAAGAAGTGTGTGGTTAGGTGTTGTCAAGCATGGCTTCGAGAAGGCCGTACGCAAAGAGCAAGGGGCACTGGACGCCGCCGTAGAACAACAAACCGCCTAAGATTATTGGCCTTAAGGGACCGTTTCTCCACTACCAGGTCCATTGCAAATGAATGGTTTGCAGAACACGGAAGACCTATTGGCATGCGAAGTGTTTACCGACGAATGAGAAGTTTTGGCTTGTTTTCATACCGGCCACACTGGGTCCTCCCTTTAACTCGAGAACACCGACGTAATCGCCTTGAGTGGTGCAGACAACGGTCACTCTGGGATCAGGAATGGAACAGTATTGTCTTTAGTGACGAGTCTCGATTTTGTTTAGGCATGCACGATGGTCGTGCCAGGGTTAGAAGACGACGTGGTGAAAGGAGGAATCCACAGTTTTTTGTTGAAAGACATGTTCATCACACTGTTGGAGTTATGGTTTGGGGTGCTATAGCTTATGGTTCCAGGTCACCTTTAATCTTCATCAGAGGTAACATGAACGCGCAGCGTTATATCCACGAAGTTCTAGAACCCCATCTTTTACCCTATCTTGACACCCTGGCAGATCCAACTTTCCAACAAGATAATGCCCGACCACATGTTGCAAGAGTCACAATAGACTTCTTTCAACATAATGATGTCACATTGTTACCATGGCCACCAAGATCTTCCGACTTATCCCCAATTGAGCACGTGTGGGATATGATGGGTAGGAGATTGCTCAATTTGCAACGTCCTCCTCAGACTCTAGAAGCACTTCGAGAGGAGTTGGTGGATGCCTGGAATGAGATACCACAGGAGGACATTGACCACCTGATCAGAAGCATGCCTAGTCGCGTTGGAGAATGCGTAGCACATCAAGGTGCATCCACACATTATTAAAGGTCAAAGGGCTTTAAAGCAGTGCAATCATTTTGAAATTTTTATCATTTACTTATTATGCCTCATTAAGTACTTATACAAAATTTTATTAAAATAAAACCATTTAAACTGGGTGTTCGGATTTATATGTATACATTTGCGCCGGACTTTTTCGTTAATCCGCCTGATGACGTCACTGTTCCCGTTTGAGTCGTTTGGCTAATAAATAAAATAATAGAGACTGTTGGGCGGCAGAAGAATTGGGGGAATATGTACTCACCAGCGTAGGCCCATTCAACCTCTTATTCTTTTTGTCATAACTTTTGTGGTTTTTACACCGGTATTAATTCATGCAAACACGGCACACAACATACAAACGAAAATAAAAACAAGCAAAAATGTTTCTAGGTGTTTATTAAACAAAATGTACATATTCTAGCTTAGCTGCAAAAATAAATTACATTATCAAACTAAGACTAGCATTATAATACTTGAAAATTATTAAATAACAAGCTCACTTAGATATGCAGCTAATGATAAAATGATATTTTTGGTGATAGTAAATTCCAAAGAAGGTGAATATGTAGGATGTAATGATGAAATCGGACTTCAAAATCTTAATTGGTCAAAGCATTTCATAATAATTTAACATAAACAAATATAAAGATCCCCCTGTTCTAATTATTTTTCACGTTGATAGTTTATTTCCAAAATGAACAAATTGTGACTCCACGGGAATGACATAATTGCATTCGTGATGCTGGCACTAGCCACTCAAATGTGTCGTGTTTTCCTTGCTATAGCACATTCCGTCCAGATTGCGCCCAAATTGGATGTTTGTGCCAGTATCCATGTTTACTCGGTGATCAGTAGTGCTGCTATAATCGCACACTGTAAATGGACTTATGCTGCGCCATCTCTTGGCACAGGTCTATGATAACATACGGAACAGCTGGATTTTGCGGTACTCCACAGCTGCTTTCCAGTAGTTTTTGGTTTGAGAATGATATGCTCCTGAACTGCATGCCAGTACAATGTGCAGTGGAACGGTAGTGGTGCTGAGCACTTCTGAGTTTCTCCGAGTAACTCAACTGGGTCACATAGGGTTATAAGGTGACAGATGGGGCGACGTGCCTCATGTCATAGCTGAGACGAATTTGATAAATTTGGATATTTTGAGAAGGGTAGCCAGTTCACTTCACTTCTTGGACTTACACCCAACTGTATGATTTTATGAACTATAGTTAGAATCTTTCTTTCAAATAATATATGATATATGTATATAAATATGATGAAGCAAACTATTCCACTAAAAAATAAAAAAGGAAATTCTACAAGGTGCATTCGCCTTCTTTGGTGACAATTCCCTCACAAGCTCTACAATGGCGACATGAATGAAGCTGAGACAGCGCGGCAACCAAATCGCGTGCTATGGGAGAATTCTAGTGTGACTGCTGGTATACCTGGTTCCATGCTGCCGCTGTAGCCGTTTGCCATGTAGGTGGCACTGGCAGTGGTTCGGAGATTTGACAAGAGTTCTGCATACTGGTTGGCAGGGCTGACCAAGGGTCGGAGGCTACCGAAGCGGCTGCAGCCGTACCTTCCACTAGAGCCTGAAAAAGATTTGAGAACATTGTAGCGAACTCGTAAAATACACTATTTAAAAAAATTAAGCGCACAAGAAAAAAATCCATATTTTTTCCAATCGCTTTTTTAAAATTGAAGATGTTGCAAATACCCAATAGTGACAATAAAAGAAGAAAAATGATATTTCCATTTTCAACCAGATTACATGAAGCTTTGATGCACAAATTTTGCTAGAATCGGTCCGAAACTGTACAATGGATCGATCGGCCGTCATTCAGGGTTATTAGGGGTACATTACATACAAAAACCTAAAAATATTAGCAGTTCCAAAAATGCGGTAGATTTTCCAAAACAAGACAAAAAGGAACTTTTTTGTTTACTTCTTTGAAATCAATACTAAGTAAACAAAAAAAACCCAAAAATCGCAATAAAATTTTATTGGAATTGTATCCCAGTTTTCGGATATACCCTTACGTTCTCTGTGCGATCACTGGTTACCGGGATATCAGTGGTCGATGACAAAGGGATTCGTTTTCATTCAAAATCGGATATCTCGCTAAACGAGCTATCCGACCCATATGATAAAAGGAAGAAATGTTTTAAAGCCCGTGGACTAAAAAGAAGTAAACAATTTTGCGAAATATTTTTGTCACGCTATCTGTTGGACCGTTGCTCCTAAAATTGTTTCTGCCAAAAAAACTGAAAACTAGGATCTTAGAGCTTCAAAACGTTTTTTCAGTCTCGATATGACTATTTATCACCGATATACAGCCAGTCAAAGATCATCGAAAAAATTGGATTTTTTTCTCGCTCCCTATATTTTTTTGAGTAGTGTAGACCCTTAGGGTACTGATGAAGCGCCCTTGCAACATCGTGGCTTAGGTAATCTGAATGACGCCACCGTATATGGAGCGCGTTCGTGTTCGAGAGCTTTCGACAACCATCGGGAAGTATCTACCACCATCGCGACCCATCGATTATTATTAGGATCACAGTCTAGAAAGTTTCGATGAAGGCTCGCGTTCTGTCTGGAAGGCTCTGGATGGGCCGATTTGAAATTAATAGGCGCCACGAACAGCGAAAGAGAGTAGTCGCACGAGTCATCAACAGCGCAAGATGCGATAGATAAATTTTTAATAAATTAGTTGCAAGTGTTATGTTATTGTTGTTGTGTAAGGGTAATAAACTAGACTTTAAATAACAAAAACGTTTTTTCGTTACAATACCTATATAGTCAAGTACCAAATTGGAAGAGAGTAGAGATGGATCATACTCCCCTTTCGAAGGCAAGGACACCATGTTAGCAGTAGCGTAGGATGAATTATGCAACTCTTTTCCCATTTTATACTCAAATATATCACATAGAACGGATTGTGCTGTTCGCTAGGTGTGCGATGGCAGCGCCGCCTAGCACATGTCGGAGAGAAAAATTTCTGATTGACACGTACAATATAAAAATAAACAGATACAAAAATATTAGGAACTATTTGAATTTGAAAGTGGCCGTTCTCTTTTGATCTGACAAATGATGACAGCGAAATGTACGCACCATCCACAGGTCTCAGTTCACCCCACATGACACATATTTCACCGTAAGAAATCACGCTTGTATTCCACTGTCAGATGGACTATGTTGCCCTTTCTGTCCATTGCATACCCTGCGATCAAAGTAGTTCTTAGCAGTGGCGACGCGTGACTTTTCCTAAACCAAAAAAAGTTTATTTTGAACCTCCCAAATATAAGTTTTTGCTTATTTTAGGTATTTTATTTTAACTATTTTTAAATTAAAGTAACCATTCCTGGACTGAGTGTCTGGGGCACTTGATATACCTCATCGTCTTATGCTATGACTAATCCAAGCCGTCCGAAAAAACAGTCGACGTTTCTAGATGTTCGGAAAATTTTTGATCTTTTTTGGCAATGAATGTTAACAATTCCCTGTAATTTCCTGTGTTGTCAGAGTCAACCACTTCAAAATGAACGGTAATTCCTGTTTTGCCAAAAAACATACCGTATCTAGAAGTGTGTTGCCTAAAAGCTTGGTTAAGACAACTTTCGATTCTGGTCAAACTGAATTAAATTGGCTACATATCTCACATGTAACCCATTTTTTTCTGTATAAAACAGAAGACATTGCCAACAATACAATCTGTTTTTTTTGCAACCACATAACCATGAGTTTCCGTATACCAACTTAATTTAAAATATCAAACTACGTTGTTTTATTCCTTTTTAAAATTATCTAAAATAGGTGTTGGTCTTCCATTTCCAATGATATCCTTTTTTTCTTAAAAATTACACAAGGAAAATGACTTTTCAAGTAGTTGATCGATTACGCAGCGACACTCATCCATCTTTAATTGCATGCACACCACAGCCGGTAACCAAAACGGCTACTGACGAGTGAGAAGTGAGTAACCAAATCCAAAAATGATAATAACCCCACATAATAGTCGCAGAGCCCCACGCACCCGTGCGTCCGCCATCAGACACGAGCCGGTACCTGCGGTCCCCGACGGACTACCAAGTGTATCCAGAAATGAAAATGGTAACAACCGACAACCAAGTCGAGACGAGTCAGCTCCATCATGTTCGCAAAACATATACACTATAGAGCGCATTATTTTCGTGGGGCTAATTTGTTATTTACTGAATTACTATTACATATCGCTGTTGGTAAACAAATAAATGACATTATTTCACAGTACTTAGTCATAAAATATTTATTTTTAAGATTTTTAACTGTTACCAATGGTTACATGGACACTTCGCCACTGGTTCTTAGTACTGCATAATGCACTTCGACCCTGACGGATACAAGTCCAGTCATTGCGGCAGTGTTGCCGAACTTATCCACTTTTCGGTATTTTTCCCAAAAAAAGGTAGAACCGGAAGTAAAGTTGAAAAAATGAAATATACGTCTCGCTGCCTATTTAGCTTTATGCCCCATGACGATCATAAGGAATGCGTACACTTAGGCAGATGAGCGCACGGAGGACGTAGATGTGGGTCTATTATTATGTACGCAAATTCCTTACTCTACTTTTCGTGTATTGCTTTTTATGCGTATAATAGGTACAGTCTGGTAGATCACCGTCATTACCGCATCACCGGACAAGCTATAAGGAAACCAAAGCTTGTTTGATTTTAATTATATATCAAATAAAAATGAGAGGTGATGAGGTTTTAAGTTTAGAGGTAAAACAGAAAAGTACTCACAGTCTTATGAACAAGAATGGGATAAGGGATTTTCACGATGGGTGCAAAGGAGTTTGAAGAGCGGCCAGTATGATCATTGTAAAAGTTGTAATAAAGAAGTTATTATTTCTCCAGGAAAAGTATAATCTGTATAGACGACGCTGCATGTCGCAAAAGCCTTTGATTCACCGCTGATCTTGCTATGACCCTGATTTTTTCCTCCTATCGATTTTGTCATTGAATCTACCCAATTTCAACGACACTATCTACCGATCCCGTCTTTTCCGATTCGGTAACATGGCAACGAGGTGAAGCTCCAAAAATTTATGAGATTCATAATTTGTATCTGTGTATTAATTAGAAAATAAAACTTGACTGACCTGGAAGGCCATAAGATCCTTGTTTTCATTGTCGCTGAGAGGTAGTGGCGGTAAAACGGGTTGTTGCTGTGCTATCTTGTAACTGGCCTGCCGCAGCATCTGACGCCTGGATAAGGAATGACTGGTTTCCAGCTGAGGAGGTAGAGCAGCGGTGGCTTGAGAGGAGTGAGACATAGCGCACTGCTTCTGGAGAATTTGACGTTTCTGCTGCAGTAACCTAAAAGAGGCAAAATATGTCAACGATTTGATTTAAAAAAAAGCAATGTATTGCTTGCTGTACTGTTGAGAGACAATTTATATGACTTGTTGACATCGAAGCCTAGCCTTGAGAAATCCTGACGGACTACTTGAACCATTCTGATGTATCATTTATTTCTTGTGTATTGTTCTTCGTGTTCTTTTATGGTCATTATTAGGAGGTATATGTACTGGCAATGCAAAGTCAAAATACCATACTGAACAAATTATGGCTTGCAGTGTACTGTTGGACTTACAGCTGCCATATATCGAATGATGTTTTTCTAAGTGCTGAAGACTTTATAAGCATGAGCAGAGTTTCTCTAGAACACATGGTCATAAGATAGTGTTGACTGAACAAGTCCGGAGTATAAAGTTCGGAGTACATCAAACGATATAATTGTATCTCGAAGCTGTCTAACCATGAGGATTATAGTACTGAGCTTTACGCTAATGTGTTGATAATCATTTTACTGTCAACAACCACACTCAGGAATTTGATAAAACTTACATGATCAATTGATGTCTTACTAGTTTTTATGAGAAGCGAGTCATCCGGATTCACATTTTTCGGTATAAATTTATTTAGCTTTGGTCCCGTTGAGGGTTCCACCATTATTAATAACTGCACCAGGGTGATTTGATTTGATTACACTACCTTGGCGTGACTTGGAGGAAATGACAAAGTTATCGTCAGAATACAAAATAGTTGAATCTGGTGCACTGCATATCATTCATACAGACAATGAATAACACACAACACCCAAAAAATATGAGACACATTCACGGTGATTTTATTAAAACCAGTTGCAACCTATTGACCGTAATTCTCATAACCTATCTGCCATCGGCGGACGAATTGTCATCAAAATAGGTCTTGAGGTTACTGAGATTACGCGTAACAACGAAGTTGGATGGAACATTTTCAAGTGTTTAGTGATCACAATGCCTTGCTATGGGATCTTTTATTACTGAAAATATAATTTTTTCAATACAACGGGCTGTTGTCTTGTACGTGAAATTAAAAAAAACTTTTTAGCATAACTTTGGTATACATTGACATATAAGCACCGAAAATTCTTTAATCGTACCTGTGTTGCATAGCAGTCTGTAGCTGTATATTTTCGACACCAGTGGTATTGTAGCTGAAGTTATCTGGCAGACTAATTCTCTTATTACCCCTGGGTTGCAAATACTGATTGTGCTGTTTTTGGCGCTGTGTAACTTCTTCTGGAGCTTCACGAGTTGGGTACTGCGACTGCAGCCTGCGAAAATAACGTATATTCAATGTGCTCGACGTTTTGTGGAAATCATCACAATGAAACGGAAGAAAGAAGCAAACTGTACTGGTAAGGGATTATCAAGTATTACGTAAGCACTAAAGGGGGTGAGGGCCTTTGATATATATATATATACTAAGTGACATATAAATCCGAACACCCAGTTTAAATGGTTTTATTTTAATAAAAGTTGGTGAATGTATTTATCTTACTGTAAATAACAAGTGAAAAAATTTTCAGCCTTATCAGTTTTACATTCCGGTTTTTATACTGCTTTTTTTTAATTCACTAACGCTCTAAAAATGAATATTTCAGCCGCAGCAAAGAATCAACGTTGGCGGATTTTGGTTCTTGACATCCTTTACGATCGGGTACGATGCCTAGAGTACGGAGACCTGTACTATTTCGTCAACTTAGTGAGTTTGATAGGGGCCGTATAGTGGGACTTCGGGAAGCTGGACTTTCTTTTCGGGCAATTGCAGTTAGAGTGCAAAGAAGTGTAGACACTGTGGTTAGGTGTTGTCAAGCATGGCTTCGAGAAGGCCGTACGCAAAGAGCAAGGGGCACTGGACGCCGCCGTAGAACAACAGACCGTGAAGATCGCCGCCTAAGATTATTGGCCTTAAGGGACCGTTTCTCCACTACCAGGTCCATTGCTAATGAATGGTTTGCAGAACACGGAATACCTATTGGCATGCGAAGTGTTTACCGACGAATGAGAAGTTTTGGCTTGTTTTCATACCGGCCACACTGGGTCCTCCCTTTAACTCGAGAACACCGACGTAGTCGCCTTGAGTGGTGCAGACAACGGTCACTCTGGGATCAGGAATGGAACAGTATTGTCTTTAGTGACGAGTCTCGATTTTGTTTAGGCATGCACGATGGTCGTGCCAGGGTTAGAAGGCGACGTGGTGAAAGGAGGAATCCACAGTTTTTTGTTGAAAGACATGTTCATCACACTGTTGGAGTTATGGTTTGGGGTGCTATAGCTTATGGTTCCAGGTCATCTTTAATCTTCATCAGAGGTAACATGAACGCGCAGCGTTATATCTACGAAGTTCTAGAACCCCATCTTTTACCCTATCTTGACACCCTGGCAGATCCAACTTTCCAACAAGATAATGCCCGACCACATGTTGCAAGAGTCACAATAGACTTCTTTCAACATAATGATGTCACATTGTTACCATGGCCACGAAGATCTCCCGACTTATCCCCAATTGAGCACGTGTGGGATATGATGGGTAGGAGATTGCTCAATTTGCAACGTCCTCCTCAGACTCTAGAAGCACTTCGAGAGGAGTTGGTGGTTGCCTGAAATGAGATACCACAGGAGGACATTGACCACCTGATCAGAAGCATGCCTAGGCGCATTGGAGAATGCGTAGCACATCAGGGTGCATCCACACATTATTAAAGGTCAAAGGGCTTTAAAGCAGTGCAATCATTTTGAAATTTTTATCATTTACTTATTATGCTTCATTAAGTACTTATACAAAATTTAATTAAAATAAAACCATTTAAACTGGGTGTTCGGATTTATATGTCACTTAGTATATATATATATATATATAAAGAAGGCGAAAAAATATGAAAAAACGTTTTTTGTGTGGAGATGCAGTTTTCAAAATACAGGGTGACAAATTTTTTTATCAATATGTTTAAAAATATTTACTCGATTCTCTTGAAATTTGGCAATATTATTTGTTGTATAGGAGGCTAATTTTTTTATATTTATTTTCCAAGGCACTTGTGATTTTTTTAGCAAAAGTTAATAAACCAATTTTCTGCAGTGACATGCAATGAAACGTTATTTATTTTTCTTTTTTCTCGAAAACGAAGTGAGATATGAAAAAGATACAAGAGGCAAAGAAGTTGTATTTTTAGAAGCTTAATCATACAACAATTAAAATTACAAAAATATAGTGGCGTACATTTTTTTGCCAATAATATTCGCTAAGTGGTCCTAATAATTTCAATCTATTTAGGGATGAATTAGCCGCTTAATGCCACAAATAATATTGGCAAATTTCAACAGAATCGGAAAAATATTTTTTAAGACATTAATAAAAAAAAAATAAATTTGTATCCTGAAAACTCCGCATCTCCGGACTTATGTTTATAGAAAGGTATATATCCGTCTATTTTTCGAACACCCTGTATAAACTTATATAGCCAATTACCAAAATGGAAATTATACACATTTCTACCAAAGGCATTGATAGCTAGGTTCTAAGCGAGTAAGCATATCCATATTTGGAGAATCTCTGATAATAAGCAAAGCGAAGACCCTCGCCCCCCATTATCGCTTATGTACATGATAGTCCCGTAAAATTAAAAAATTAAATTTATATATAAAACTGCATTTTCGGACCCATGTATAATAGAAACTTATATTCATACTTTTTAACAAGGAATCACATTCTAAAATATCTCCATCTATTCTTCGAACACCCTGTATAACAAACAAATTGGAATCATACCTTTGGGCCTCTCGTTGCACCAAATGCATATCCAACACCCCCTTGGTCTTATTCTTTTCGCTGAACTTTTGCGAGTTGAACGCCACAACTTGACTGGTATTATCAGCCACCTGTTGTGCCACCAAACCATCGCTGGCCCTTCTGCCCTCCCTGAAGTCAACCGGCGATCGGGTAATAGCTCGCGTTGTCTTAAAGCTTGACATGTGTACCAAAGGATTGTGCTTATTGAAGACGGTTCTGGAATGGTCAAAGTCTATAATCAAACACACAACGTAGTATATGAATGAGTTAGTCTAAATTGGTTCTTGGAAAAGCTGTGATAAACTTATTACTATACAAGTTGTTTTAAAGTCCTAGGTCAGTCAGTGATCGTGTCCAAGATCCCGCCACACAAATTCCGTTCATTCTGCCACGCTATTTAGACGGAGTTCACACGGCCGCATCCCAGACACAGTCACCGACTTCATACAGGGTGATTCAGGAAACTAGAAATTTTTCTAGAGTATAAAATACATCAAAAATAACACGAAATGCTCATTCTGAAATACCCTCTTATTAGATGTAGGGTGTTGGGAGTTATAATTCTGAAATCGAAAAAACATATTTTCGGAACAGATAAAGATGGACATCAACTTAAAATATTGCATATGAGCATAGCAACACACATTTTCGTATCTCAGTGGCATAAACATTGGAAGACTTAGCACCTTTACAGAAAAAAAAACCTTAATCATTTTGCATTCTCGAATAACGTAGATAATTTTACATAAATCGACCGGCTTGTCAGGACTACTCCTCGAGAAAAACTGGTTTCGACATTTGTGGTAAAAAAATTCAATCAATTCTGATTTGAAACTATACCCTGAAGTTAATGCACTTTATTCATGACTTGTCGTTATTTAGTCGAATACGTGGATTTGAAATTTACAACACACGATTGAATAAATTAGTGCTTATGTTAACAGGTACGTTTTTTCTCAATTTCGAATGTTCCTACTGCTCGAGAAATACTGTATTTTTTTTATTCACCCTATATAGTGAACAGGTGTTCTAAAAATAAGCATATCTTCATAGTAACATACAGGTTGTTCGATTTTAATCGACTCCCCTAAATATTTTGAAAACTTCGAATCCTAGAAACATGTTTCAAACAACAGTTTTGGAGTTTCTAGGATGTGAAATGATGGCGATCTTAATCATGATATTAAAGGTCACTTCAAGGTTAAGTAAATATTTTCAAAATTTATACCGAAACTGAAAAGGGGAGGAAATTTTACGTCCCAATATGACCATGATCTTCAAGTCAAATTAAGGCAGAGGAAACAATTTGCTCTAGCAAAAATATTCAACACCGCAATTGTGAGTTTGTAGGGAGTCACTCACCTTCAAGATAATGTCAAAATTTTTGAAGGAAACCCCTCATTCTTGTATTGGAGCTGGAAAAGCAGGAAATTTCACGTCTAAATGTGACCTTGACCTCAAGGTTAAGGCCATGTTCGCTTTAAATATTATTTGTGAGAAAACCATTCGATTTGTATACCAAAATTGCAGAGAGCAAGATATTTTATATCCAAATGTGCAAAATGTTTGGCTGACCTTGGAGGTGAAGGTCAAGGTAACCTTTGGATGACCCACAAACACCGAACATTTTTGTTTTCAACGTCTTTATTTGACCTTGAAATGGAGTGCAATTTCGGTGGATTCATTTTAAAATATCCATTTGTCCCTGAAACGACCTTGGAAATTGTGGTGAAGGCCATGGTTAATGCCCCCTCGAAACTTTGCAAATTTTTTTGGAACTTTTTTCTATAGTACATTGTTTTTCTGAATATTTAGAAGGGGCGATTGAAGAGAAACACCCTGTATAGAATGAAGTCCCAAGATGTCATTTGATTACAAAAAATCAATTACATCAGATCAAATTAAGAATTAGGTGAAAACATACGTGTGTCTATATCAAACCAAGGTGCAGAGTATAAGTGGAACGACCAGTTTGTTTGTAAATCGGATTTGAAAAGAAAACGAAAATATGTTATTTGATCTTAGTCAAGTAGTTATTTCTGACACTGAAAGTGCCAAGTTTCAGAACATCCTGTATAATTTGGTGAAATCTGTTTACCTGTGCGTTAACGAGTAATTCTGAGCATTGGAACTGGTAAGAATGGGCTCGGGTTTCTTTTCCATTGAAGTGCAACTAGGTAAGCTTCCCGCTAATTCCGAGCTGTCTGACAAAGGATATTCAAGGCTTTCGAAGTTGCTATCACAGCTAAGGTTCTGACTGAGACTCTTGGTGGCGTTAAAATTGACAGCCACCCCACTTGAGGACGATGAGGAGGCGTAGCTGAGTCTGGGACCACCACCTGACAGGTGCTCTTCTAGGTCTGTCTCCACACCTTCGTCCGTTGAGCTCGAGTATTGCGTTTGGATTTCTGTACTTTTGAAGCCACTGTAAGTGAAATACATGTCATAGCCAAGCACTAAAAAAAGAGTAGCGTTACTTGTCGTACGCCACTGCTTACGCTGCATGTCTTTGTGTACGCAGACCGCGGCCGTACTCAAAAACACCTTGCTAACAGGGGCGTGCAATGCTTTGCGCTACTCGCATTTATTTTGGTAGCACATTATAGTTAAGGAATTCGCATAACTAATGATAAATACATACATGATGATTTTTTTTGTCGAGTTATTTGGTTTTTTCGATTGTGTACATATCATTGGAGATATATTTACTGCTCGCCAAAAAAGAATACCTGTTTTTAGGTTGCAATTCATCCAGTAATCATGAATTTATTACGAAGATTTTATAGGTATAAAGTAGAGAGATCCATATACCACAGACGTCGTAATGTGTAAGTTAGAGTGAAGCGTGTGTCAAAAGAGATGCACCACGTTGAATAGCAACCCGAGTGATGAGACTACGCACTCTTTCTAACATATTGCACGCTTCTCTCTCATACACATTGAAAAACGCACGACATCAAACGTAAATGACGCGCACTACTGTAACGTACTTGTTACATTGAAATTTGTCTATGTAGGTAGTCACTATGCATCTTGTAAGAAGTATGCCTACATATAGGTGTGACAGTAACATACCTGGTGCAAAACCTCCCTATAGATCCGCTATGTCCATGTTTTCCTTCCCCAGCGACCTCAAAAGGTTGAGGGCTGATGACCGTTCCCGCGTAAACATACGATGACGCAACTTGGTGGTAGGGCGAAGAGTCAGCTGACGCAGAGGGAGTTGGTGACATTTGTAACGTTGACATTAACCTGGTGGCCTCCGTGCACATGGTAAATGTAGTTTTGGAAGCAACAGCTTGGTTCAAGATCTTCAAGGCATCCTCGCTGTTGGTGGTTGCTAGGAGCTTGGCAGCGTCGATGCCGTGACAGGGTGATGTGTCACTGGTACGCTGGAAATGTCACGATAAAATTGTATAAACTGAATTTTTGAAGGTCCAAATTGAACACATATGAAGCGTATAGAAATTCGATTATCGGGTATGAAGATTGCCAGGAGACTCAAATTCCTTACTCCTGATGTTTGTTGTTAGTGGCGTATGTAGTTCGAGGAATGTCAAAAAAATCATGGCGGTGGTATGTCTTTGGTTTTATTTTTAAGGCGTACTCTTAAAAATTTTTGAGTGGAGGGTCAATATTGAAAGGAATGCCATTTTGCTCCTGATAAACTATCTGTTTTGTGCAATTTTGAGGAACTTTATATGAATTTATATTTTTTTAACTTGTAAATTGAAATCAATACCACTTCCATGGATATTCTTAGACTTCTTGAAATGAAGCATTTAAAAAAAATGTGTAGAGAGCGTTGTTTACATGTTAAATAGCATAAGCGTGCTTTTCTGAAAACCGTACATAATAGTTCACTTTTGAAAAAATATGTTGTATTTCTCAATACTTTTGAGGTGCACGTGGTTTTAAAAGATATTGAAGGAAAGTTGATTAAAAATAAACATGTATCACACTAGGAAAATCTTAGGTCTTATTTTCCTGATTTGCAGTAATGTACGTTTCTTCCTATATTTTTTATGACTCATCACATAGTGCCTTTCAGGAAAGTGTCCACTACTTATTTATTGAACAAGTCAGGTTAGGCAATCTAAAATGCATATTGGTAATACTGACGCAATGAATACTTTATTTTAACATAAAAATAACAGTTGAAAATTGCAAAATGGCGGCTGGGTAGCTGCCTCCCCTTCCCGCTTATATACGCCACTGGTTCTCCTCATAAATTTTAATCATTTCAAGGACTGTTCGGTAAAATATATTAAAGGTGTTATCGTTAAGTCCATTTTTATAGTATCTGGCATACACTGGATTTTGTTTTATTTATCAATCTACGCAATTTTCAGAAGGTTAAGCTAACAATGATATCACTACAGGTATCACTATGATACATAATAATGTTTTTAACGTATAATAACACAAAAAGTGGAGACGAGTAGCTTGACTTGCCACACATTCCCAAATTATGTACCTCTAAAAACTCTCTTCAGATATTTGTTTCGTCAAAGGTTGTACACCAGATTAGTACCACCTGCAAATTGAAAAATCAGACTTGTCTACCTATTTGGATTCTTTGAAGTCTAAAAAATATATACGAAGTTTCAGACGGCTTTCCCGTGTTCCATTTTTCACTCATTTATTCTTCGTTAGGCCTCTACTAGACCGATTTTGACTTAAAACTTCAGCGACCTCAATCGTTCATCAGGACCAGTACCCACATGTTAGTGGAATATCTGAAACTCCTGTGGTTTCCATGCTGGTAGAACTCCATGATTTTTTGGCCAAATTAAACCACATATATACAGAGTGGCCTACATTTTATTGCCGATCTGGATAGGACTTTTGAAATGAATCAATTTGGTATAACAAACTATATGGTTTTATTTTCAAATTGTTGAGTTACTGGACAATCTAATGGAAAAAAAACACTCCCAACTTTGACATCACGCTCCCGCGCGAATATTATTGCTAGAGTACCTATTGTTTTTTCCATCAAAAAATTTAATGATCCCATATTTTGTCCATATCTACTTGCTTTTGCAGTTTCTTAGATAGTTTAGACAGGGCTTTTAAAAAAGCGAAATGATCTATTTCTCGAAAATTTTTAAATGGAATAACCTGTATATTTTCACATTTTTCGATTCCCCCTTTCACAAGTTTTTTTTCATATAGAGTTTGCGAGAGTTTGTACAACTGGATTTTGAGTTACAAAAACACAGCGACACCATGACTTTTCGACTTCATTGCATGTGGCTGGGTAAATTTAATTTCTAATGAAAATTGAAAGCCTTTTTTCATTTTGAAGGGTTTATTGAGATAATAATGTTCATTGACTTAACGTACAATGAATGCTTTACAAAAAGGTTAGCTGTATGCTTTATAAAATTGCTTCCATTCCTTTAAAGAAATGATTATTTTACGTAGTTATAAATTACTATGTAGAGTTAAATATATTTGCAAAGGCGACAATTTTCGTAACTAACCTCTTTAGATGGCATGCATAACATTGGAGTTGCCGAAAGGGCCCACACACACTAATAACTGGAATGTAAATTATTTTTTACTTTCTCAAAGTACGGATAATCACATATATGTCCTCCTCGCTACTACAGAGGTGCTGCGACAACAATTTGCCACGCCTAGGGAATGTCTTAACCATGCGATCCTGCTCTTTGCTGGAATCACTCGGGGCCCTTCAGGCTGTTCTTGCAACACACTGTATAGTAGCGAAGAAAAGAAAAAACAACCTGAAAGACAAATAAATGTAAAAATATTTCAATTCTCATTATCTGATCTTTGAAAAAGGGCATCATGGTGGCCGAAAGATCAGTAAAAAGTAATTTATACATTATGCGGTTTCATTTGGGCAGAAAATAATGGAGTTGCATTACCTTCAAATATTTTCTTTATTAGCTACTGGTATTAGGACATAAAGAGTCCATTCAGACAGTCTCAATATAAATAATAATTACAATAGAAGGAACTATAATAAAAGAATAATAATAATAAGTAAGTCATATATACTTATTATAGGTTATAATCATTTTTACCTCATTTACCTATGCCTGACGAATGGGAAAATACTAGACGAGGGGACTTCAGCAAAAGTCGGGTATATCCTTCTAGCCAAGGGCCTATCAGGGCACTTTTCATAGACAAACAAAACGGGTCACAGTAAATCGAAAAGCACAGCTAAGCTAAATACGCATATTAGTCTCCTTCACTAATTTAACAATACTATGGAATATATTGAGAGAGTTCATGGTATCTTTCAAAAAATATAGCCCAAGTTGCAGGACTGTTACATTCTTCGCAGACTTCAGAGTCAATTATATTCAACATTAATAAATGAAATAATATACCTCTTACCTGTCCTTCGTATCTCATCTTGGTGCATATCTTGCTATTGCTCGCCGTGGGCGTGGAATGCTGCTGTAACAACCTCCTGCAGTCCTCAGTTGTACTTGCCCTCCCGATCCTCCTCACTGCTGCGACTGCTGGGTCACACGGCGGCCTTCTGCGAGGTTCTCTTGGAGGAGGCAGTTTGGGGGAACCACCTCCTTCCGCAGTACCACCCACTAGTTGACTACGGAGTTTGTCCAACAGGAGGTAGTAGATTGCCGCGTGATGGTCATAGCTCCCCAGACGAATTGACTGCAGAAGAATAAAGATTGGTACTACATTGATACATCATAGATTTTCGAATAATTGAAGGTCTCAGAGTAAATTTATGTTTAGCAACAAATTTTTTGCAAAAAAGTGTTTAATCTTGCCTGATTTTTTTTTTTAATTTCGGTATTAAATAGCGTCATGTAGCTTGACTTTGAACCACGCAACTTAAACATTAAAGATTATGTTAGAAATAAGTTAGCCGCTCTTAGAAAAAAGCAAAAATGGGATTCTGTAACATCGGTATGGCGCTGTAAATCTTACATCGTTACATGATGATCACTAACATCTATGATTATCATTTCTCGTGCGAAATATTTTAGTTAACACCATTGGATAACAATTCCTGTGGCGATGAAGACCCAGGGCGATAGCTATATATACCTATTTACCTTTGTTGCACTTGGCAAGGGCATTAAGAGTGTCCCTAGCTTTTCAAGTCTAAACGGAAAATGTTCAAGAAAATATATGCGTCAAATGTGTGTAATAGGTAGAATTAGCGGGGTTAGAAGCATGTGAATATGCTAGCGCCACAAAAAAATCTCAAAAAATGCCAGTAAACGTGATCGTCAGAGCCTCTAAAAGTTAAGTGATTTTTATTTTTGTCATTTTCTGCCCCTAGCTCCGCCGCCACTGGTTCAGTTTCCAAAACCTATAAGTATTTTTCCTGATTAGCATAACAGTAACCTTGTATTAAGAGTCCGTCAAAATCCGAGTGGTACTTTCCAAGTTATACAGGAGTCGAGGATCAGTGGATAGACAGACAGAAAATAGCATAACTTATTTTTGAAATCTTTCGTAAAAACAATACTTCATCGCCAGGGGCAATTTTTTAGTAGAATAAACTGAGTTACACACAATTGCTGATATGTATCAAAAATACAAATGCAAACATGAACTATCAAAGGCGAACAAGTTTAAACACCCTGAGTTCAGAGTAATCAAATGGAAGGATTTCTGAACCTTTGTATAATAATAATAAAGTTTATTGCAAAAGAAAAAGTATAGCAGTAGTAGATGAAAGACAATATTATACAATAAACGAATGGACCCAAAAAAGTTTCGCAGAAACTTGTGCTTGGGCATGAGCTCATGTATAAATAACTTAAGACTAAAAAAAAAACATAAAAAAATATATGTATATAAAATTCATTAGACAAGTCCTGGTAAAATTTTTAAAAAGACACAATCGGGACGGAGATGCAAAATCGGGACGTAGACGCAATCGGGATAGAGACGATATTGAAACAAAAGGCAATATTAGGTGAATAGACAAGAACAAAAATTGGTAAAAATAAGTCATAAAATGCAATAATTCAGGGGGTAAGAATTCAAATCAGTTTGATTTATACATTTTTTTTTTCATTTTGAACTTTCAAATATCTAGAGAGATTTCCGCTTTCAGTAGTAGTAGATATTTTTGATATCAATCGCTTGATGAATCTTGAGTCTGTGCTGGTCCAAAATCCACAGTCGTAGATGCCTTTTCATAACCTCTGTATTTTTAATATCTTTTATCTGAGGGGGGATTAAGTTATATATTTTTGGTCCTAGGAAAGTGAAACTCCTCTGACCTATGGTCTTTTTAGGCTTTGGTATGCGTACTGAATGATCTTTGGATCTGGTGTGATGGTCATGTGGGAGGAAATTTAATAAATGCTTATGTTTTGTAATATATGTGAACACACTCTCAAAATAGAGTTGCCTACAATCACATATCTTGGATACCTTATATATCACATCGGTTGGATAGGTGTTAGTTTTGCGGAACATGATTTTAAGAATCCATTTCTGAGTTATTTCTAGTTTCCTGTAGTATTTATTCATCACCGGTCCCCATGCCAAAATTCCATAAGTTAACAACGGTTGTACTAACGTTTTATATATGGTGCATAAGTCTTTATCAGAAAGAATTTCCCTAAAAAATTTAAATTTTGGTATAGGACATCTTAATCTCTTCGTTAAGCTTTCTATTTGTTTGTCCCATTTTAGGTGGCTGTCTATTATGATTCCTAGGTATTTTATATGATTTGCTGGCTTTAGGACCACTACTTCATCTATGGGTGGTAATTTGATGTGTATGTTAGTGAATGTGCGACTGTTCCTATCATCACATGAAAAAGTCAGATATAAAGTTTTTTGATAATTGATTGTTAATATTTTATTATTGAAGAAGCTTATAATGACTCTGAAATCCTCTTCAATAAGAGTCTTTAAGATATCCCAAGATTTTTCGCTATAAATATGAATTTTTTTGCCATATTTTAACGTGCCGAATTTTTACAACACGTATTACCTTGTCCGAATATGAATAATCATCAATTACCGAATGATGAACGTTTAGTGGTTCAGACCCAAACCAAATCGTGAGAATTGAACAAAATTTGTTAATCGTTAATATTTTTCAAAATGCTGCAAGAATAACATCTCTGAACTTGACCTCAGTGCTAACTGAGTCCGTTCATATTTCTAATCTTTCTTTTCATTTTAAACAGATGGTACGCGTATGATTAATCGAAATTTATAGTACAGTATAATATTAGACTAGACTGTGGAAAACTTTCCAGTGGAACAATAAAAGACACCTATTATTGTAAACACTCACATTAGTGTTTGGACAATTTAGTATTTATTGATTCAGGGATTACGCATTTTATGACCTTAGGAGTCTGCCTTCAAGCAGAAACTATTTTTATTTTCATTTCATCGCTCGCGACTTAGCACGAGTTAGCCGAAAATAGGTAGCAGAACAATGGAAAAGCAGGATCAACGAGTTGCTTCAATTAATTATCCGAACAGAAAGTTTTACTGGTGAATGGTAATGAACCCTCTTAAAAATAGCCAGAAGGACGAGGGCTTCAACCTAGCGTTTCATTCTACTGAGTTAAAGTTTGCAACGAAAACATCGGGGTCAAGTAGATGGTCTCAGTACTTCCAGGCAATGATTTAAACTTGTTTTAAATTTTACGCGCATATTCTAAGCAGCGTTAGTGGCCAATGAATGAATTGTAAATACTACCGAAATTCAACTTTTTGAGTCCCTTGCCATTTTTGGCTACTCACTGAAGTAATCAGAGTGTTAAATTAAGTCCAAAAATGGAAAATGCCCAATTTTAATATGCCCTTAAATTATCAGAAACTCAAGAAACACGAAAACGCAAAGTTTGATGAGAGAACATTATTCCAACTATTTAAAATCTAATTTATTACAACCCTTGAAACTTAATTATTACAAATTTACGACTATTACGCACTGCTTTCGATCGACCTACTCTCCTCGCTCTGCTCTATGTTTGTGTATTTATCTTCGCATCGACGAACCCCGAAGCGTTCCCGCGCTTTCTAGATAGGCCTCAGCTCTTCATCGAAGTTTGGTTAGACGAACGTTCCCGACACGCAGTCCCGTAATTGATTGCCTAAACGTCAATGTTACAAGGGTCTCTCATTGTTACTCAAAGTTCTAGTTACCAGGGCGTTACAAAAACAATATCGTCAGCAGACAAACCTACGATGATTTTTGTCCTCGGCATGGTAAGACCCGTATGTCAAAAACCGAGTAGTACTTTCTGGGTAATAAGAAGGTCCAATGAATACTCTATAGATGACAAACAGGTAGACTGACGGAAATAAGTTCTTGATGTGGCACCCAAAGCCTTGTTGTGGTGCATTGGCGTGGAAAGTAAAACATGATAACTGTAATTGTGTAGCATCTTGTTTGCGAACATCAAGTCTATGTGCCAACGTTAAATAAAGAAAAAAAGCAGGAAGATACTTTAAATCCTTTAAACAGGCCGAACTAGTCTAAGGGTATTTATATCGGTATTCAGGTTCGCATATACTTTTGTAGGACTTGCAACAGATTTAGCAACATCGTTAAATTGATATTTCTGTCAAAAATATTTACCTGCATCATAAACAATATGACGGATTCACCTAAGATTTTGTATGTTATCATGGATTTAAGTTTTTTTAAATAAATTGAAAAATGTTGATGTTCTCTGCTGAACAGAATGACTAGTCATCACTACTTTTATAAATTTGTTGTGTCCCAATTTAAAAATTGTTCCCAACTAATGGAAATTGACCACTCGTTTTGTAAATACCCCCTGATTCTTCAAATTTCATGTGCTTCATGCTGCTTACCTCTCTAGTTTTTGAGCCGTCTATTCCTAAGCTCTGCATCAGTCTCAGAATCTGCTCGTTGGGTTGCGCGCTAGAGAGGGATATTGTCGGTGGTAAAGTTGGTGGACTGCTCATTTGCATCCACCTATGTTTCTTGATCTGTTGCACTGTATATCTCTTGTTCGGTTCTATAACTAACATTTTCCTTATCAGGGATTCACAGTCTGAAACAAAGAGAGAAGCTGGATTGGAACAGGTGGACTCTGTACTTCGCAGGAAATTCGGTAATCAATTGGATTGTTTGGTTTAGGTATTTAGAAAAATGCATTTATTGTGAAGGGTGGCGCTAGCTGGTCGAGTGACACAAAGACTCAGACTGAACAGTGACCATGGGCGGTCATACAAAGTACTAATATATTGAACTGTAGCATCATTTAGATGATCATTTTAATTTGATACATGTGACTACTACTTATATCTAATAGATGCGTAATATTACCGGGAACAGAAGCTTCTTTACAATATAACGTCTTTCATTGATACCAGATATGCAATGTTTACACCTTCACATCCCCTAAAACCAGCGACCTCAAATACTCCCCTCACCCAAATTTTTTGGAAGTATGGAATATGAGTCCACAACAAACGAAGTTTTAGCGAATGTTAGTTTTTTCTCTCGCTTTTTGCCTAAAGCTCCGCTGCCTCTGGTTTGATTTTATTCCTCCTTAGCATAACCTTGGCTAACAATTTCATCAAAAAAAATCAATTATCGACTTGCAGTTTGTCCGACAAATTATTGAATAATCATCAATTTTAAAAGCAAATTATTTCTGACCTCTGCTAATTACAAATAACAATTCGGTTAAAAAAGTGTAATCATTTAAGGAAGTCTAATTCGCATAAATTATAAGGAACGTTTATTTATTTAATACTAGTTATTACTATTACATTGTAAATATCTGGTGACAATTCAAAAATAATCTACTAATCAGTTGCAGTGAGACGCGCGGGTTCGAATCCCGTCCCAACAGAATTTTTTTCATGGCCATCGATGTTGTGATTATCCGTAGGTGGTAGGCGGCCTCAGAGAGTCGAGCGAGGAGGTACCACCAGACGGTTCTCTTAGGCTGGACCAGAATGGGTGCATGTCACAATCACATATGTTGCCTCGTTAGAGTCCGTGTCACGACCCCCTTTCAAAAATAATCATAATATGCAAAAATTCCTCTTACCGCCCGAGAGCAATCCTGAGGACCAATTTTCGATTGGAACATTTGGGTTATACTATCTGGTATGCTTTTGGAGAAATAAATGAAGCAGTGTTATGACCTTTTAAATTAATTGACTTGAAAATGCAGCTCTTGAACTGAAACCACTGAACTATCAAAACCGAAAACCAGCTCACCTAGTTCTGGAATAATACGAAATTGTTCTTTCGACTTTCCAAACTTGGCTGTAAGGCGTAATTTTTTTAGCCAACCAGAGCACCTCTGCCTCGGCTAAAACAATGTTCAAAAACTTTCCTCACTTTAACAATATTTCAATACGTAGATGACTACGAGTATGGCATTTTAAGCAATGAGATAAGTTTGTTTTAGAAGATAAAGATATAACTTTTTCCAACATGACATGACAGGAGGTCCTTATAAAAGTAACTGTATTGATAGCTCCATTCGTTATTGTTTATTAAAATATCTGCTTTCTGCAGTCTGCCTTAGATTCCTTTTACGCATTATGAATAGTGGTTGTTAAATGAAGTGACGCTCACTTCTTATATCTTTATTCGTTTTTTACGGTAGGTGGTAGACGGTCTCTGACTGTTGAACGCGGAGGTACCACCCGGTGGATCTCGTAGGCGGAGCCAGAATGTGTGCATGTTGCATGCACACGTGTTCCCTCGCCAGAATCCGTGTGGCATTCCCCCTTTCCCCTGTTCCCCATGGTACCCAATGGGTGTTTAGGCCTTTGGCCTTCGTGGTAGTTGGAGTATAAAAAAAACAACGAATTCGGACTAGGTAGGACTTACAGGCCTACGATTTGTTTGTTGCCAAAACTACGTAGTCAGTATTCACGCAAGTTCCTACTACAGCTCAATCAGGCTTAAGCCGCCAGTTTGACAGTTGTTGACATTTCATATTAAATTCGTATATTTCTACGAAAAAGTATAAAAGTACGTGAATTCCATACAGTCCTAGGGTTCCTAGTTACCAATGTTCCTTAAGGGCATGCAAATCAACACTGAGCTTTTACTTGCTTACAGATGTGAGGTAACTTTGATTTATCTCATTCCACTTCTTGTTTTATTAAGCACTCAGTCCTAACCTAAGGCTCGCTAACAGAATTCTACACCTACAACAATACTGACAAATGTAAAATATTGGAGACAAACCCAATTTTTCAATGGATACTGAAACCAAATAAAATTTAACTTTATCTACTTTAATTTTGAATCGAAAAGTATGTACTTTTGGGTTACAATAAGTAATTTCACGATCTCATCTCAGTGCCATTAGATTTTATGGAGGAAACTCATTACGCAGGAGGAATTTTTATATTATGCTCAACCAGGTGTTTGCTGTTAGACAAGAATCTGCTCGGATTACAAGTATTTTAAAAAAAATGAGTCCCCGTATATTTAATATCTGGTATCCCGCCATTGTTTGATGGAGATAATGTTTCCTATTGCTCATCCTCCAAAATCATGATATAATCAGAGTGCTGTACCGTTATAAATATTATTTTCGTTTCTTTACCTTATTTAATTTATTCCTGTTTATCAACAATAACGGAGCGATTCTCAACGCAACATAGATATTATGGTATTTCTGCCTGGCTGTTCGTAAGCACACCTAGTAGAGAAAAGATTCTAAGCAGCAGTATTGGTTTATCACTTGACTAGAAATCGACATGATTTCAAGTCGTCAATCAGTATGCATATTAAGTCAAGCCTGGAATCCAATGAGAGTTCCGAAAAAATTATTCATCCACGTGGATAATGAACTTGATAATCCCTTGTAAATGAACATCTAATACAAATACAGCTCCAAATCGTGAGTGTACCTCCCAAATTACCGCGGATTAAACCCGATTGTAGCTGGCGTGGCGTGGCCAACAGTCCAATGATAATAATTAGCGTCTCTGACCGGGCAGGCGGGTGGTCTAGGGTAGTTTGGACAATTATCCCCATCTCTCATCCTCCCCTTTCACCCTAATTCTGTTCCCTAAACCGCCCGGGAGGCATGCTGACGTCACAATGTGCGTCACATCGCACAAGCCGACTACGGAGGACGTTCGCTCGATGATGCCACATCCTCCAACAATAACATCGAAAGGGTTATTTTATGATCACCTTTTACGTATTGTTATCGATCCCGAGCGGTAATATATTAATGGTTATTGTTTTGCGGCAAATAGCTATCATCATAAAGTGAAGCTTATAAGGAAGGACACTGAGTCTGGTAGTGCTGAACAACGAGGTGCTGCGAAAAAGTTGTTAAATCGTTAAGAACTGCATGCAGGTTACAAGTTAAAAAAATAAATGGGGCCAACGTCGTGTTTTGGAGGCTATCTGGCATGAGATTTGCAGCTAGCGAGATTTCTTGTCAAAGTCACGTGACATGAATGCTGACCAAAATCAGTACTGGCAGGTGTGGGTCATGAAAGCAGTTAGACCCTGGAAGAGCAGTATATTATTTGGGTGTGCGTTCCCGCGGGCGGGAAGCTAGGAGGGCTGGAGCTGACATATAAGTTAGTTATATAGAAGAATCCTGAAAATGAGCTCAAATTCAACACTCGAATATCAATTTGGTCAACTAGATTTGACGGTTGGAGACCGTTTGTACATGATTGCCAGTTCATGCCTATTTTCACGTGGCAGTAATGCAGGCAGAGCCAGGTACTGGCTGGAGGGATGGGGCAGGTGGTCCCTAGGTGTGATTCTAAGCCGTGCATTCTGCGGGTGCATTATTGCTTCTATAGTTGTAGTCACTGTTGTGGGCGAGTCAAAGTGAGACCAGTATCCCTTTATGTATCTCCATCTCCCTCTTACATATACATGCAGTCTACCCCTGTGTGTCCACGTTTGTTCGCTAAGCTCAAAGACATACGTTTTTTAGTTGTGTGTCTCCATCTCGAAAACTTTGTCGTTATGTATGTGTGCCCTTCAATCATATTTGTCAGCGTGACAACTTACTTCTCATCGGCGTACGATTTGAGTTGTCCTGTTATCAATCTTCAATATAAAACTGTACAACTCCCGGAAATGCGATCGATGGAGAAGGCCGACAGCTCGTGCTAAATTTATTAGAGTATTTCCAGGAAGATAATGAAAACAGTGGTCCCCTGTTACCCACTTCATGCGTACTGGAGAGAGTAGCAGATGCGCTGAAGATTAGTCAGCGCAGTGTTGAGCGAATAAAATCAGAAAATAAGAAAGCTTGGCTCATAGTAACACCTGGGAAAACCTACAAAATCAAAAAATGCAAGACCGATGATGTAAGTGATACCGTCGAAACAGAAATTAGGAATACTTTCTACGATGTGAGAGGTAAAGGACAACATATCACGACCTCTGCGCTCAATCAGGAGCTTAAAAAGGCACATATACGCCTACACGCCTTGGGTTCAAGTTTAAGGCGTCTATTAAAAGTTTGCGGTTTTTCCTACAAGGCCGAAGATAACCGCCGACTATTGTGTGAAAAATCAGACATTGTTTCCCAACGTATCTATCTTATGAGACATTAAATGAATAACCTCAATAGTACAAGCCTGCTCCAATGCATTTTCTTAGATGAATCGTGGATATTTGCCAAATGGTCGTTTAAACGAGTTTGGCAAGATAAAAACGTAGAGTTTGAAAAGCGGCCATCGGAACCGGCAAGCAGTATGTTGCTTTCCATGCTGGAACCAAACACGGTTTTTTGAGAGATACTGTTTTGTTATTTGCTACAAAATCAAAAAGTACTGACTACCACGATTCCATGGACAAAGACTCTTTCAAAAGTGGGTATTTGAGAAGCTGATAGCAGCGTTACAAAAGCCATCCTTAGTAATCATGGATAATGCCTTTTATCATAGTGCCTTAACAGAAAAAAATACCCAATTACAGTTGGAGTAAAATGCAGTTGAAGCCATGGGTGGAAGACGAAAAGATTTTTGATGATGACGCTTTTAAATCTATGTCGCATTAATAAATCGTCGGCTCCAAGATATATCAGAGCCGAAA